AAAACCTTCGTTCAAAAGGTATTCCAGAAGCAACATACTGGTAAAACGGGTGAAACATGCACTTAGAAATAATTGATCTTTTCTTGCATCTACCACGGAATACGAATAAACAGTTTTATTTGTTTGAACCGTTTTCAGTCTCTAACAATATCTCAAGAGACTGTATTTTATCAGTCTCGAAGAATGTTTGTAGAAAGTTGAACCTATTTTTGAAATGGAAAACATATAATAAATTGAGATACTTCCCCTTGAGATACTTAAACCTAATTTAAATGTGGATGAACAATTTTATTTGTTTAAACCATTTTCAGTATCAAGCAGTATCTCAAGATACCGTTTAGTTCAGTCTTTAGCAAACTTGCAGAAGGTCAAACACACCCTTAGAACGACATGAATAGAATTAGTTGAGATACTTCAACTTTTAACCCACTTCGAAATGCAAATAAACAATTTTTTTGTTAGTATCGGCCCAAACATAATCTCCACTTGAAACTTAAAAAAAAATAACATGTGAAGCATGTGAAGTGTAAGCATGTGAAGTGCATTTATTTCGATGAAATTCTACCTTACAAATTTAACCAATAAACCACTGGTTCAATTCAAAATTAATTAAATTTATATTTACGTTGAGCCAATGTCAACGATGATTTGTGAGCAGGCTATTACGTCTCCCGTGGGATCTTAAACGTCAGGATAATCGATACCAGATAAGTAAAATTAAAACTTAATGAAAAGTTGTCTACAAAAATTAAATCTTAGGAAGAAAGACCATCTAACACGTAATACCCCAGGCGGGTTTGACTGAAATCACTTTTCACAGATGTTGTATCGTAGCAAGCGTTATAATAGAGCTACTTAAATGCTAGGGTGAGGGTGATAGTGATAGTGAGGGTGATATGTATTAATGTCGGGGCACAAACCTGGTTTGAAACTTTTTTTATATAGATTTTTAATGGAGTGAATATTTAATTTTATATATGTTTTCTCAAAGTGAGCCATCGATAGGAGTGTATTGTGAATTCTTATCGGAGATGGATAATAGTGACAACCTACAGACAACCAAGGCTCAGATAGCTATATTAAGTCAGCAATATAAGTCGACATATGTTTACAGTTGACACCAAGTTTAAAAAGAAAAAAAACAGCATGGATGGAAATCCCACAAATCGGGAATTTTCGGAAATATATTCCTACTTGTTTATCAGTGTATTGGTTGAACTTATGTTTTCAATTATTTTCGGCATTCCTAATTAATCTTTTATAATTCATGCGTGAAATAAAAGTTGAGAATAATCAATAAATTTATGAAATATATTCTACGCCTATCAATTTTGCTATATTATTTAATGGTCGGGGGGCATAAGAATGGTAGGTTGAATTGAATTTATTGAACAATTGAAGTTAATTTTAATAAAGAAAACAGCAAATTCCGCAAATCTAATAGCTTTTGTGAAATTCCAACTGAAAAAATTTATTCACTAGCGAAAACTTTATTATTGTATTGTTTGAACTTAAATTTTCAACTGAGTTGATTGGGTTAAATATCTAAACTAGTTCTATGTTTTCGATTAATTATTTTACGAATTCTACGAAAGTGGCTCCTATGGGATATAAAAGTCTAGGTTAATCAATACGTTTGAAAGTATAAGAATTGTTAGAAATATCTTCCAACTTTTTCTTATAATACCAAACTCTGCGTGAAATAATGGTTTAAAAAATGAAGAAATTAAAAATTTATTCTGCGCCTAATATTTTTGCTAAATTATGTAATGGTCGAGGTGCATAAGACTGATAACTTAGAAATATCTGTTAGTGTCTGTTGACAGTTGACACCAAGCATAAAACAATTCAAGTCATTTTTAATTGAAAACCAGCAAAGATAGAAATCCCACAAGTCCGATATTCTTGATGAAATCTTCCAACTTGAGAAATTTATTCACTAGCGAAAACTTTATTATGGTATTGTTTCAACTTAAATTTTCAACTGAGTTGATAGGGTTGAGTATACCAACTAATTCTGTGTTCTCAATTATCTTACGAATTCTACGGAAACGGCTCCTATGGGATATAAAAGTTTAGAATAATCAATAAGTTGGAAATTATAAGAATTGTTGGAAATATAATTCAATTCTTTTTTCCTAATTTAATCTTTTATAATGCCGAACTCTGTCTGGAATATAAGTTGAAAATGTCAAGAAGGTAAATATTGATTCAACGCCTGTTATTTTTGATATATCAAAAATAATGGTCGAGGTGTTGGGTATTGAAGATGGTAACGGGATCGGACTAAGGCTGGGCATTTCGAAACAAATATCCGAATCGAATAGTAAATTATTCGAATCGGTTTAAAGCAAATTTTCGAGCTGCCGCCATCTTGTTTTTTCTATCCGCCTATGGTCGAGGTAAATTTCTAAATTTTTTTTCATTGAAGCCATATTTTTTTAACGCAATTCTGACATATGACTTTTTTCTGTATTGGGGTATCGATGAAAACGTGTTTTTTTATTGTTAGTGATGTATTCTATGTTTTCAGTAATTTATGTGTCTGGATGACCTAAAATAATAAGAAAGTTACATACAATTTCATATCTCCCAAGTATTCGAGATTCAATTCAATTCGAAAAAAATATTCGATTCGATTCTGAAATCATCAGGTATTCGAAAATGCACAGCCCTAGATCGGACATAGCATGTGCAAGTATAAGACAGAGTGAGTACTGATTAGTTACAGAAAATCGTAATTATAACATTTACATCTACAACTATAAAACCGTGTTTATTTTACCTAATTACTTATAATGCAGGGGTCGGGAACCTTTTTGGTCAAGAGAGCCCTAAAATATACATATTTTCAATTGCATTTCCGTGCGAGCCATATAACATTTCTTCACTTAATCAGGCCTGAAACGTTTACTCAAAAGTCAACACATTCCATTTCAATATACATTTAATGTGACTTCTGATGCTGCATGTTGTCGCTGCGGGCCTGGAACGGTTGCTCACATGCAGCCCAAGTTGAAATCTACGATACTCATCACCCTTTTTCGTTTAGGCATCTCCGTAGAATTTTAAAACTCTATCGCTTTGTGATGTCACAATATATGTTCCAGAATCCCCATGTTTTGTCACAATGCCTGTCTGGTAATTCTCTTACATAACATAGACATGCGCTGGACCCGCGTTGTCAAACGTATTGGGAATTTTTTGCCAAATTTGGCCATAAAATAGTTTGAAGTCTACTAACAATAGTAAGCTTAATCTTAGAATAATAGATTTTTCTGGGAGCCATATGCCGTCACCAAAAGAGCCATATATGGCTCGCGAGCTATGGGTTCCCGACCCCTGTTATAATGTTTCAAAACAATTTCTGCCGTATAATTCAATTGGAATTCCAAGTGGAATTGTGTTTTTCAATTTTCGCAATAGGTTTGTTTGCATGGGCATTTCATTACGACACCAACGTTAAATAATAAAATATGCTAAATGCGTAACTGATGTTTGAAATTGTTTTGAATCGAAGTATATGACATAAAAGTGTAAATACGTTTACTCGAATTCGCAAAAATCCTTTTTTATGCTCTTTACAGCGTAGAAAACCACGAACTCCTTTTAATTTTTGCAAGGAATATTGGAATAAATATCAGAGATTTCAGGATTCTGTGATATTAGTTTGGCGCGGTGGCCTATTGGTTGAAGGGTTAGACTTGAATGTGCCTCAGGTTAAACACCTCGGGTTCAGGTCTAATTTCGACCTAGCGTGTGATAAATTGGATAGACAATGCCAAACTAGAAAGACTTCGGTAAACTAAATAATAGTAGCATATCGGTAGGCACCAGTGCATATTTATTTGTGCACGCGATGCTCGGAGAGGAATATGGGATTTAGCGTCTTATATATCGATTATAATTCTGAAATTTGAAACTGTTACTTAAATGCGATTGTTCTGTTTTAAGATTTTGCGTGTGGCCATGCTCAACTATATTATAACTATATAAATATTTAGCTCTGCAAATTAATGTATATATTCCCTCATATCAGATTGCCAACCACGACGGTCGAATTAATTCGTTATGAGCGTTGACTATTTTTTTAATACTGAAAGGATTTATTGATGATTAATTTTATGATATGTGGTATGACTTACTAGATTAACCAATGTGATGGAATCGCAAACAACATACAATCCCTGTTTTGGAATCATCAACTTTAATGCCTGTGCTTTACCATTAACAAGAATTTAGAAAATTATATTCACTTATTTTATTATGAAACAAACAACCCGAAATGTTTGAATTCACTCGTATATAATTTATTCATAAGGTTGTTCAGCCCATCGCTCCGTAGTCCGTATATAGTTTTATGTAAGCAGCGACTAAAACGAAAGATAATTTTTGGGTAAGCCATTAGAACGCAGTTTATTATATCACTAGTTTAAATTTGGGCATTGGATTCAAATCTAATATTAATAATTTCAACACCAATACGACTCGGTCTAACGCTATAACAATGAGCCATATACTCTTGCAATGTAAGATATTTGCTGACGGGCAGCTGTACCAACAGCTCATTAGGGATAAACCGCAAGTGAAGGCGACATGACATACAGGTATGTGTGTCGATTTATCTGTGTCGTTGGGCTATTCTTTCTCATGTAGGCGAGTTATCCTTTCTCGTGTAGGCAAGTTATAAGTTTCCTTCTATCTCATTAAATTCCAGTAATTATCTTTAGCTGAGTAACTAAGTTGTTTACATTGTTATGCGATAAATTTGAATAAATATTTGTTTAGCCGTTTGTCATAGAGACTATTGATTTGAACGCTTGTCTGCTATCGATTTATCGTATTCAGTATCATCTGGTACTTAAAAATATATTCAAGATGTTTGCACAGTAAATTCATATTTGATATAGTGCTAACAGAGTCAGGCGGGCTGATGGATCCAATTCGGTTCGTATTGCGAATACGATGCTTTATAGAATATTTTATTCGTTCGGTATATGGGTGCTACCATGTTGCTGTGTGTCACCTACACAGATGCAGTGCGAAGTCTGCCGAATAAGTATTGATGTCAGATCCTTGCAATAAATCGCCAAATTAAATGTATATATAAGTGATATCTATCAAAATGGGAAATGCAGTTGTAGACCGTACGCCATGATACAAGCTTGAGATATATCTCAAGCTATAGTGTGGTAGATCTTACTCTATAGTACTAGCTTGATGTAGATCTCACGACAAGTTGCGGTAAACCTTACGCTATAATACCAGCTTGAGGTTGACCTCACGCTATAGTAGCATCAAAATATGTATTCTATTCCCAAGATAATACTCATGGATTAGCATAATAGGATTTAATATATTAAAACCGAAGTATACTGCAATTCAACTAAGCTTCTTCATATGCGTACAACTATCGGATGGAATTTTGGGATTACTATTACATGTTCTATTGAAGATTGTGACAATTGCAACAAGAATTTAGAGATCAAATCCTGCGGAATTGAAGGTAATTTTATCATAAGCCGATAAGGGAATAGCGTTTTTGTGTTTATGTAAAAAAAAAAGTGAGCAATGCTCCAGTGCATGGACATGAAGGTTCAATGTAATTTTCATGCGCTTTCGCTTTGAACAAGGCCATATATAAGCAGCTACTAATATCTAAGGATATTATTAAAAGTACCGGATCTTCCTAGTTCAGCACTGCCTACCACGTTTATTACATTGAGTTGAGGGTATGAGATTTATACATTTGAATGTGTAATCTGCGATGCTACCACAGTCAAGTTTAATGCTTTAACCGTCAGATCAAGGTTTTCTGGGATCAGGAATAAAAATGTTAAGTAATGCGAAGTAAAATAAAGCCAAGTTTGGGGTGAAATATTTAGCCCCATACCACCCAGAAGAAAAAAAATGTAATTAACAGCATTTTAGTAAAACATTCCATGCGGTTCGTGTCCAAAAAGTATAGCGTATATTATAAGATCCGCAAATTTGCTAAATTTTTCAGCATGTTTCTTCAATTTGGTAAAGTTCTAGGATAAAAGAAAAATATATATTTTTATTCACTTCATAGTAAAATATTTGTTAAAATTTAGCGATCGATTTTTCACGATCATAAAGAAAAACCACTTGTTTTCTCTGGTATAGTCAATCTAATATATTTATTCAAATCAGTGTTTCCCAAACCGAGTCCGCGGTCTCAAATGAGTCCGCGAAGTGTTTGAATGAGTTTGCAACAAGCCAGAAATTCACGTTTTTGCGAAACCTAACTATCTGCAGTTACGATTTACGTTACAATTCACATTAAACATAAAAAGCAAGTTTAATCACATAACCTTAATCGAGTCAAGAATTACTGGTTACTGAGTAGAACTGGACATATATTCGAATATTCAACTATTAGAATAGCAATTTACTATTCGAAAATGTGGTAACAGGTGACGCGACAGGTCACTTGAGCGTCGCTCAATCAAACGATTGATTGGATTTCAAAACGCACTTGCGGATTTCCGATGAAAACAAGAGTCGACATACGCGATGGTTGTTGTTCGCGCGAGTTCGAACAACGAGGAGTAAAAAAAATTTTTCTGGTAGGTGGTGGCAACCCGAATTTTCTAAGTTGAAAAGCGGCAATACAAAATACTAAAAGTAAAACCGAGAACACCATAAGTTTTGTTTTATGATGGTCCGCGGCATTTTTTGACATTGCAAATCGCGAAATTTCGGGTGCTACCGTAGTATGCGTACCAGGGCATTTCCCCTTAGAATTCTTTGCTTTACTGCCTCCACATTGGTACGTACAGTACTGGAGCGCCGTAACTGTTGTACGAACAGCTCAGATTTGTCGAATTCACAAAAATACGAGTCAAAACAAAACATATTCGGGCTCTTTGCCACGCATTTTTGTGTCCACGGATTGTCATGATATTTTCTGAATAGTATTGCTTTTATTTCGTCAACACCATTGCAGATTATGAAATGATTACAATTTAATTAATAATGAAGCAAGGCAATGAATATGTATTTTTGATTCACTAATATACTTTAAATATATTTTTAATAAGTTTCAAATCAAGTTGTACTCTCTGTAAATTTATAGCAGATAGTAGGATTTTTCCTACGGCGATAACAAATTCGCAAGATTGCAAAAAATATGTATCAAAACTAAATATAATCGGGCAATATATTCTCATATTATTATGTTCGCAGATTGCCCTGGCATTCCAAAGAAGTGTTGCTTTCATCTTGTCGCAGGTCGACGCAACCGCGAGTTACCAAAAACACAATTCAATTAAAATAGAAAGACATTTTAAATTCTCGTGGTTGTCATGATTGAATATTGTGCGACAGAAAAACCAATTATACACTAAAAAAAGTCGGCTCTTTAAATGAACGCGTAATTGCGGCGAATTCACGATTTTGAAAATCGTTAGAATTTTGTTGTGTTCGGTTTTATTGCTTCTTCACACAAGGTACGGTTGCAATAAACGCACCTTGAGTCCGCAAAGGTTTTTGCCGGTGGTAAAATAGTCCGCGACCAAAAAAGGTTGGGAAACGCTGATTTAAATGATCATTTTAGCAAATATCCCAAATGATTTCAAAACCTAAATTGGAAGAATATGCTCCTTTTGAGCAATACCTTGTAGTTATTTTGATACTCCCGTAGTATGTGAACCAAGATGGCGGATACCGGAAAGTATTATACGTGGGTTAGGCCATAAGTTTAGGTACATATACTACGGGAGTCAATTGGCTAGTGCCCGAACTCGTAATAGAACTAAAATAGGGAACATTCGAATAAAATTATGGCCTAACCATTACCACCTGGTACACATATATATATACTACGTTCCGGTGTCCGCCATATTGGTTCACATACTACGGGATTACCGTTATTTTATTGCCACTAAGTAGAGATATTCCTCTCAATCTTCGTAAAATATTTTACCTCCGAGTTCACATACATTGTAATCCATTTGTAATTTGTAATTGACCACCAGTACGAACTGGACACCCAGTCTAGCTCGCGATGAGTTTTGATCAAGTTAGATTTAAATATAGTTTATTGCTTTGATGAATGCTATTATTAGGCTGATAAAATAACATAAATATTTTTTCTTTCATTCCAGTGGCTATAAATTTCAACTCGTCGGAAACAACAATTGACTGTAACGAAAACGAAAAGTTTTTGAGACATTACTATCACCCACTTATGTCAGATCAATAATTGATATGAATACAACAGATATATCGGACTCAAACAAAAGCACACCCTTAATAGACACTACTGGGTCAACTGAAGATCATTTTCCTTTATTTGTGGTAGTAGGGATGGTCACTGCTCTCGCCGTATTATTCATATTCCTGATAGTACTATTCTGTCAAACTTTTGCAAAATCTCCAGCAAGAAACCAGCAGTATCATGATGTCCAATGTTCTAATACTGGTTCTGGAAAAGGCTTGCTTCAAGGAAAGCATAAGCGCTGTGATGATATACGCATAGTATATAGAAATGATACTTCTCAAGGCAATCCACCCAGTGGAAGTGTAATGACTGAAGTTGATATGACATAATACAAACTGTTCTAGTATAAAGAAACAGTCTTGCAGTGCAAAAAGCGAAAATCGCGAAGATCTTGTAGAATTTAACAAAATTCCAAATTTAGGTATATTCTAATTTCACGTATTGTATATAAGAAATATTTAAAAAACCCGTTTTTGAGTTTGTTTTTAATAATTTGTGATATCAGCATTTACCAATTCATTTGAGAATATACTATCATTTTCTGCGGGAAAATCCATTTAGAATATCTGAAAACAAAATTGAAAATTCCCACCTTCGTTTGATCTGTATAGCATGCAATTTGAATGGGATTAAGTAAGTTGTACATCTGTTTAGAAAAAAATAGCCTATTCTTCAGATCACTGCCAATTTGAATATCGATGTGGTTATTAGTCTAAACATGTTTGCAAAACTTGGGCAATGGATGCTTGAATAAATGTAAATCGACTAACAAAAACATTTTGTAAATATCCTTGTCAATGAATAATTTCGTTTCAATATTTGCCTTTGTCGTAAATTGTAAAGTTACTGCAGTGGGAAGTCTACTAAGATATTGTGTATCGAACTAAGGGTACTTTATTCTTGTCTACTTTCAATCTGGCCGTTGCGACAAGGATACTTGAACGACAGAGTATGAGAGTGATAAATATTCTATCTATATGAGGTCATTGCCACAAGGTACTTGAAAGAGATAGTAATAGAATAATAAATATGATAAACATATTCTCGTTCAACGAAATAGCACAGATATTCCGTTAAAAAGAGATGTTGTTATTCTTATTGATGTAATATTAAGCGCATCTATAATAGTGCGGGATAATTTCAATTTTCTTTGTTTATTTTGAACACGTTATTTCATGGATAATTTATCAGTAATGCCATATAGAGATTATCACATAGCAATGTTATTTTTACACTGTCTTTAAACCGGAAGCTTTTGCTGAGCGTTTAAGGTTCGACTTTATTGGCACTAAAAGCCAGAGATATCGGGCTCCAAACTACCCAATGTAAACAGCTAGCTGCCCGAAAATGTAATAAATTGCGTATACTGTTATAAAACCTAAATTTGCCTCCCATAGCCCAATTCTGTGTGTATAAATAAGCCTTTCCCTATTGGGATCGGGAATGCATAATACTTAATAAAAAGCTAAAATGAAGACGTATTGGTCCGATGTCATGAAGATTTAATGTGTGTCACGATAAATGCGATCATATTCTAACATGTAACAATCATTGATATTTTCAGATAATACGTTTCTAAATATTCGTTCCACAAAGTAAATTGTATAAGCATTTTTCCTGGTTCGGTAATTACCTAGCCAAATTATTTAACCCTGGTTAAAATGGAGGGCAGGTGGCTTAATTAAGTCTGCTTGATAATCCACTTTCGATGCTAATATAGTCAAGTTCTATAGCCAGACTCCCAAACTCACTCGAAACCCGAAAAACACGCATTTAAGCGTTTAATCACAAATGTTGTTATTCATATGTACACACTAACGCAACACCAACGACAGCGATATGATTTTATTTCTGATAATACCCGCTCATATAAAGTTTGAAATATCTAAATATGGCTATATACCAAATGTGCAAATTATTTTGATAATCGGTACGTTAATAATTTTTAATTTGAAAATAAATATTGTATTAAACGTTCTTCTGTTTCATGGGTGATAAGTGGGATTTGGAGGTGTGAAATACATATTATGAAGGAGGGAATATACTATAAATTTAGGGTTCCAAACTTCAGTTAGATGTATTAGCGAAATTTCTTAAAAAATGTTTTGATCTGTAATACCACGAACAAGAAATGAGATTATTTTCTCACATTTATAGTTATCTTATACAACGTTTTAGATTGTTCGATCCACAAAATCTTTTGTACATAAACTACCGATATATAACAGTTCTTATTTTTAGAAACAATTTATTATTCCTGGTTTTGCATTGCCTACAACCGTCAGTTGCTGTGTCAACAAATTTAATCTATCCATCCGCACTCATGCGAAAGTCAACAACATGTATTTTAACGTTTTATCATAAATGGTGCGGTTCATGATACCCACAGCAGTGCAGCAAAAATGACAGCGACATTCTATTATTTCTAATAATATCGACTCATGAAATATTTAAATAACTATATCTGTGTTAAATTAATCGTGCATATAATTTTGCTATTCAGTACGTTAATAATTTTTACTTTGAAAAGGAATATTAAACTTTTTATTTCAATTTATTGAGTGATCTTTCATAATCCTACGTGTTGACAGTCGTATAGTTCTGGTTCGCCAACATTGTTTCATCCGTAAGTAATTGTAAAGGGTCTCATGGGAAATGTGTTGACAGGTCATTGAAACTTCCTAACATATCAGGGTATCCATAAGGTCTTTATACAATTTCAATATTTTATGAAGTCAGATCTCAATATATCTTAACCAGGTTTTTATCCAGTAATTGTTTTGGAATTTTTACTTCATTCAATAGATTTGTGAGAGCCAAAATAATATATGTTATCGATAAATTCCTTTTGCAATCTTTAAAAAATTCAAGATTTTATGGACACCCTGTATATCTGTAGCTCAGTTCACACTTCATGCTTGGGGAACGTATTGGCAGGTCAATTTAACTCAGTAATGGAATCTCATGCCTATGCACGTTGCTTGTACACAACAAAAACTAATATTAGTTTCATATAAAACGGAGAAAAGTCGATGGGACGACATAACCAAATGGCAAATTACTGCACTTTTTCTAGATACCAGCCCAGTTCGGATATGGAAATAACTACCTAGTTATCCATTATTCTAGATGGAAGAAAAAATAACCACGGACAAATGCCTGTTTTACAACAATAACATGTCGTAGCTGTCTATGTATCGATTGGAGATTATGCAAAGTCTTGTCCATTTGGAGAATGACACACATAGTGTAAATAATAAATTTTTATATATCCGGTTGGATTAACTTACCTTTAGTAAATTTGGAAATTAAATAACTTCTGTTTGATATACGGCCGACAAAGTACGTTTCTCCCAAAGTCGTTGAGTTCGAGTAATATTCTCGTGCTTCAGAACATAAATTCCCGTTTTTTTAGATTGTTAAACATCAATGTTGAAATTTGAAACTAAAACAAGAGAACAAGATGAATTTGAACCCGGAAACGGACTTAAATAAGTGCCACAACTTGCATATTCGTGAGTTGAGTGACGAAGCCAGAATATGATTTTGAATGCCATAAAGTTGGATTTGGAGTGGGTTACAGCAAATTCTTAAATGACCTTCCATTCGTATTATCTTCAATTTACAGGGCGCAATGAAACTAACTGTTTATTGGCATCTGGATTTTGATCCAAAACTTCAGTTTAGAAGTGAATCTTTTGCGCCATCTACCGGATATTAAAGAAGAGTTTGTATATTTTTATCATGAACTTGTTTACATAGAAAACAAAATAATAATGGATGAAGTAACGGATTGATTTTATTGAGAAAGTGTCTGATTCAATCCATATGTATTATGAATTAACAGCAAAACACAAACAAATACCCATTCAAGTTTGCATCTGAGACAAATAACTTGTAAAATGACAATTGCGTTACAGTCCTGTACTGGTAAGCTTTGAGTGGCTGACTTGCCGTTTGCTTTGTTCTCTATCGATATATTTATGGAACATTCTATTTTGTGCTTATACTGTGAATTCACAACTAGGATTCAGACAAGTCTTGCACTTTGTTTTCGTTTAGTTCGTTTCATTCAAAAATACGATATTTTCGAATTTTAGAATTGTGATAATCGATATAAAACACAAGCGAAATTGCTAATTTTGCCTTCCTATACCCATTTTTGTCTAAAAACGACATATTTAATTTTACATTGCAATCGATATTTATAATTTGCGTAATTCTTAGGATTTTTTATAAATACGAACCTCCCGATTTATGTATTTATTATAATCGACATAATAATGAACCTAGTGCTGATTTTTTTTTTATAAAACTATGATAGTTCATTCTATGTTATTTGAAGCTGTTAAGCCGTTCAAAATTAGGCTATAACCTGATTTTATTTGATCCTGATTAATCAAAGATTTTAAACTTAAACACTCGCTGAAGTTTATTAGTATTGTTATCAGAGCAAGATTTGCATAGTAAGATACAACTTATTTTTGCTCAAGTTCGTCCGCGTCTTTGTTTGGATACATGCATAGAAAATACAACTATAATAATTGTTATGTGGAGCGTACGTTTTTGAACTTTGCATCTTAAAATAATGGACAACACAAAACAGATTTAATCATAGCCCGGGGCTTTTTTGCGTTGAGTGTTTGAAATGCAAAATTCGAAAATATTTGCCGCACAGTATGAAGAATTATATTTACCTGAAAAAATGTGAGGTCGTGAAACGCTGTCGCCTATTTTGAAAGAATTGCAAGTTTCTTTGAGCTTTGGTATACGCCGATTTTACGCTTTGCGTTCCAAACGAGATTCTGCACTAGGAAAATAAAATTGAATTGATTTATTTGAAGAACAGTACAAGTATGTTGATGTTTGAACATGTAAAAACAAGTTTTTCAAAGTATACTTAATTCAATTAAAGTGAATATTTGAGCATCGTTCCAAAGCTACATGCAATGGCGACGAGCTTGCCAACAACTACAAGTCTCATACTCGATTGAATAAGTAATTTGTCAGTCAATCTTTTGCGTTTACTTCACGCCACCACAATGAGCAAGAATCAAATGTCAAAACATACTGTAACGAGATTTTACACATACAGTACAACCTACTCAGACTGAAAGTTGAGAGTAGAAGAGAATGATTTCTGAGCAAAGTTGCGGAAGATCACTGAAATTCCAAGAGATACTGAAACTCAAGAAAGTAACGATTGAGACATGATGTGACTTAATAGCGGCTTATCTTCTGCAAAGAATTTCCTATTGTTTGGAGCAAACATATGTAGCATCTATTTTAAAATATATCTATTCAATTCATTCAATAAAGTCGGAGTTCTCTTTGTTTTTATTTTGATTACAGAGTTGAAATGAGGTTTTCCGTCTGTTTGTTAATTTTATTCTGTTGTGCATTGTTAGCCTATGGCCAACAGAGTTTCCAATTAGCTTACCTAGCCCAACAAGTTAACGAGTACTGCAACATCCGAGAAGGAGGTGACACATCAGCGAGCCAAGTTCACACCACGCAAATGGCGAGGATTGGCAAAGCGGGGCCTGCTGGACCTCCAGGACCGCGAGGAAAGCCCGGTGTGATTAACTACGAAATAATTTCAATAATGATCCAAGAAAAATTTGAAGGTAAGCTTATAACAGCTGTTAGGTTCAGCAAGAGAAAAGTAAGAAAGAGCAATGAGCAATTTTGTGAACAGATTCTATTTTGTAGTAAGTTTTACATGTGAATTATAGTATGTACTATGCACCATTCATTCCCAACACCCCCGCTCACAAGCTCGAAGCCACTTTGATCTCACGTCCCAGAAAGCCGTGTTACTGAATATAAAGAGGATTTTGATATAGAAAAACCTCGCTGCACTAACAGACACTAGCCGCATAGTTGGTACGATATATGCTTGTTAAAAGCGTTGAATTGACTATGTTGCCATCGGCGGTTTGAAATCTCGGGCACAAATTCAATGCCCCATTCAGGGTGTGATAAAGTGGGTTGTAAGTGTAACAATGAGAAATCTACAAAACTATTTTTAATGACTTTATGACAAGAAATACAACAAACATTTAAAAAATCGTGAAAGCTTGTAAACCCCATGTAAGACAGAAGGCCAAAAATTGGATGGTTTTCAAACTTATGATATAAACTAGTATTCTCCCTAGTATTGTATTTTCATGGGATATTCTTAAATTCAGGGGATGATAGAAATCTTGCTACTAGCTGTAAAATTATATGAAACTTACAAAACGAAGTTATGTATTTGCCTGGCTATCTGCATTGGTATAAACGCCACTTTCGCGATATTCAAATACAATTATATACATCTAAATAAGAGATATATGAAAAGTTCCCATAAAGTCTTAATATCTGATTTAAGTTATGCTAAAATATTTCTTCCAATAATTATATAATGCACTAATATAATTCATGTTTATTTTATATTTTAGCCCTTGAAGACGAGATTTCCTCACTGAAGACAAATATGGCACTCTACAATAAACTAGTGGGAGGTAAATCGAGGAAAATGAATATTCTTTCCTTACAATATTTTATTTTATATATTTATATAAATGCTTGAAGGAAGGTTATGCGCTCTTACTCAGAAGAAAATTACTTGATCCCTGAGCGAGGTACGGCGAGCACCGTAATGCCAAGAGCTTCTGATACTGTATACAAATATGACGCATTGCTAATGTTCAGTAAACGCTGCTTGACGCAATAATGAAGCAGTCAGTACGATAAGGCAACCATTGAAGTGCCGGAAGCTACAGCACTAAATACTTGAGAGGTTCGTCGATGTTTCTATTCCCGATATATATATACTTTAATTACAAAGGTGTTTATGGACGCTATGAACTTGTTAATCGTGCTTGGCATCGTTGGCAGCTCAAGTAAATTATCTCAAGTTAAAACTTAGTGCCTACCACCTTATTCGAAGCGCAAACTGTTGAAAATTAACGACCACGATATTGTAACACTAAATAATGCCAAAAGCGTTAACATACGTTTTGTACATGTCAATTCAGAACGACGTCAAACAATTATATATTTTTTTACAGCCTTATGCCCAGTAAAATACAAAGACAGATGCTATTGGGTGATTAAACATTCAGTGACCGCAATAGAAGGGCGTATGCTTTGCAAAATAATCGGTGGAGAAGCAGCTCACATACGTGATGCAACGCATTTTAACATGGTCATTAAATATCTCATTCCTGTGATACAAAGAGAGGGCGAAGGTTTTTGGACTGGAATGGATTACGAACGACAGGTATATAATAGAAATATAATTAAAGTGAATGCCATTGAGATATTAAGCGCATTAGACGTAAATTTAGACTTGGTGACATGGAGCATCGCAGTGTTTTTGCCTGCCTAATTAACACTGTCGGGGGGACTTGACAGGAAGACTCGAAGTGACTAAAGTAATCTCAGTGAAATGATTCGGAATTGTACATAACTTTACCGCCAGTGAGACTTAGCTCAATGGTAGACTCGACTCGTGATTAGGATCACCCTTTAGTTGACTTTCATCATTTACCCAATGTCCCAGACTCGTACCGAGATAACTGCGTGCGAGATTTAGCTCAGTAATTGGCTTGGCCATGTACTCGCGATTCGGAAGATCTACCCAAAACTACTAACTTAAGCAAGCAATAAAAGGTTATTAGGCGCTGTCCTATAATATTATAAAACATAGTGCTTCCGATACAGAGAAATCTTCTACCATGGTGCCCATTTACACAATTCACTCAAGGAAAACTTTTATAGTATACACATTTTGAGAAAAAAATTTCACCTTACAAATTTGCTAAGAAGTAAAAGCGAGAATAAATTTGGAGAAACCCCGAACTAGGACGATAAACTCTCAGTTATTCACATTCTTGAACATAAAAAGTAACTAGAGGCCACGTATTTTGTCTTATTGACCTTTTTCATTCAAGGATAAATAAAAAAAAATTCTTTCATATCTTTTCTTCTGCTGATTGGATTTGATGGGACCAACTACTTGTCCTGTTCCTATGCTTTTGCACCAACCGATTTGTATGCATATAACGCAAGGATTCTATAGCAAGAATGAGGATAACTATTCTAAGTGATCCAAAAGTCTATCAATTTTTTTTTTATTTTTTTCAAATCTACCAAATAACCATTCAACAAACCGATTTTTTGCGAAATTTATATTTAAACTTTTTCGTACGGTTATGTCAATTTTTAACAGTATTATATCTAAAAATATGTGAAATTTTTATAATTTATATTTCAGCCCCCAGCTCGATTAGTTTTATCCGATAAAACGAATGCAACATATGTACGTTGGGCTTCACGATACCCAACTAGAATTTCCGAGAGAACCGCTGTCTTATTTAAAGTTTATTCAAATCCTGAAAGTCGTTCAGTTGGAATGTGGGATTTCTACCCGGACAAAGTCGTGAATGGAATTTTGTGTGAAATCTAGCCACGAACTAAAGAACTCTGTTGTGATGACTATTTGCTCAATATAACTTCTCCAAGCATGTGAACATATTTTGCATGTCATGTTTGTGTATTAGTGTGATATCACTGCTTTTAAACAATCAGTTTGCGTCAGGATGCCTTATTCGTTAGACCTAACGTAGCGTAGCGTAGAAAACTAAATAATGCAACGTTCACATTCTGTAACTCAATATGTCATAAGTGTATCTGGAACAATTCTTTTATTTTAAAAACATTGTAATACTTGGCTTATTTGCCATTAGAATCGTATATAGTCTTTTTACTGAGCTAATTAAGCACTTAATACAATTGTTTTGTCTGCTATATTTTTTTGCCACGAATTGAGGCCTTGATAATCTTACATTGTTATCTCACAACATGTAAAGACCAGAATTCTTTGGGCTCGGTATTGCTTTCTCAGATTATTACAACCAGTGTGTGGTGGTTGAGCATGAGAATTGGCCACGAGATGTGCACCCAGAAATGCCAACAAATGTATGTAACCGCTTTTCTTGCTATAATTGAACTATGTATGTCTGAAGAAGTCTGACCTTGGACAGACGAAACGTTACATAAATATATTTGTGTTAGTGTGCAGCAAGACTCTCGATAGTTACTCTTACTCTTGCTACAGCATCCTTGCATTATATGCATACGGATCCTCCGTCACAAAAGCATAGAAGAAGGATAAGTAGTTAGTCTTGCAGAAACGAAATCATCAGCAAAAGTTTACTCTAATGCTTTAACCGTTAGGATATTCCGCTCATGCACACGTTATATTATTCTCTCTATCAATAACAACACAATATGAATCCGCTCACATTCTGGATAGAAAAAAACAATAAAACTTTTGGGAATTGATAAAATACCTCACTTAACAAACTCGAGCTCAGAACTATACATTTCTCCTCGGATCTTTGCGCTATATTGGCTAAAAACTAAACGGTAAATGGTTATTAAAACTGTTTTAAATAAAACGCTCAATTGAAGCAAAATTGGATTTTCTAGAGTTTTACATCTCCCAAGTATTCCTAGCAACTGAGATATATGTCTTAAGAATAGACATAATATCTTCTAGTCCGCCTTGTGTCGCCTAAAACACTCTCATCAGCACCGTTGTCTTATTGTCGAGATTTTTTTGCGTAAAGTTGTATAAAGTTAATACAATTCCCACCCAATGTTTCATTATTAGCAGATATTTTCGGCAGCGTTACACGCGTTTAATCATAATCTTAAAAACTCTAGAATTATTCCATTTAGTTTATCCATAATATACAAAAATAAAAAAATACGAAAATTGGGGAAAATAGAGAGAAAACGGGAAAATGACATGGAGTTTAATCATGATAATCATGAAAATATAGACACGCAGCGCCACCTAGTGGTAAATTCGGATGACGTCAAAGCATACGAAAAAACGAATCCCATTCAGCTCACCGGAATATTTGAAATAAATAAAAGTAATGGCCTTCGAGCAAAAAATATAATCCTTACTCACAAAAAATTTCAAAGAAAATGGTGATAAATGTAATCAATGAGAAAAGCGATTTTTCATAACGATGCCAAGAAGAATACAAATAAGAACAAGAAGAAGAGTGTCAGCATAGAATGCAAAACGATCGTTATGTCCACTAACGTGTCCAATAAGAAAATGACATAAAGTTTAATCGTGATAACCATGAAAATAGGTACACCGCTGGGCTGTGTGGACCCCGAGTAGGTTATTGGAGCTTTCCTCTGACATTGGTACCGGATTTAGGGCAAGAGTCATAGGAGTGGAATCTATGTTTAATTTCGCTACCCTTAAAAAAGTTATTATTGGAGTCGAACTGTTTAACTAAGACCACTAAAGAGTCCATATATTTTGGGGTACTTCTATTTATTTCATAAGTCGGTATCAGAAGTTGGAGTCACGCAGTCACGCTTTAAATTGAAGGGAAGTCTATATTTTCTGAAATTAGAGTTTTTTTTCAAATGATCGGGGGTCAAATGAACCCGCTTTCTAGCTCAAATCTTGTTTCATTGCGAGATTTTAAATGGTCACTTCATAAACTTGCTCTTGCCGTTTGTTATTGTATAGATTAAGAGTCGCTTTGTTAGGTGAGTTGCGTGAATTAACATTGTGATCAGCAGCGGGAAAAGGTGGTTCGTAATCCGAGCTGTGAAAAGAAAAGAACCAAAATTATTCACAAGCTGGATATTTCAGGGTCAATTCTTGGTAAGGTTACAATTGTACTGATATTTTGTATGGTTTTCATAAAACATATCAATGCTGTCAGCTTCGAACAAAGATTTACACAAGCAGACACTGTAGGAGCTACTTTTACATATTTCGAAGGACCGGAATCTTCCTCTGGTTGAGGTTAAGGCATGGGATTCATTTATATTTCCTTATGTGCAAAAATACTTTGCTTGAATGAAAAATTTGTAATATTTGCAAATAAATAAACATTCTTACCCATTTGAAATTGTGTCGAATGAGTTATTATAATGACCTGCTGACATCGTTTGGCGTGTATTAGTATAATCTGATAACGGAACATCACTTGGCCTGTGAATTTGCATTCCCGGCAACGGTTTAATTGGACGCGGAGGGACTTGTGTTATTTGCTCCACATTGTTTCGTTTTCCTCCAACGTTTCGTGCTCGCGTTCGCGCTTCTTCAGGTCTTGATTCTGCGTCTATATCATTGGAAGGTGTAGAAGAATTTAAATCTATATCCCTTGTTGGCTCCCGTCGATATTCACGTTTTCTCCTGAAGTGAATAATACAAATATTATTGTATCAAATTTTATTCGGTGACTTAAAGTGATCAAAATAGATTTTAGATTGTTGTGCATCACATGTGATATATACCACTGGATGAAGTTACGAGTCAACTCGAGTCACGTATCACCCCAATTTTGAGACAAGGTAATTCCGAAGTCGAATCTGATCAGTGATCAATGAGGGAGTTTTACTGGTGGTTGGTGAGGTACGAGTCAGAGACATGTTTTTTAAATGACTCTAGTAAATTTGAGTTTTGATAAACGGTCTATGTTAAAAGTCGTGTGAAGAGTCATCAGAGTCTTCAGTCGAGTCCATCACTGAACTAAGTCTCCCTGGCGGTTAGATTATTTTAGCATTTGACGAATAATGACTTCAATGCAACTCAAGTCTGGTCAATAAATTTTGTATACCCAATAATAGCATTAAGTACACAAATTTTGGTAACTGCACTTTTAATAACAAACTGCATATAATTGTTTTTCTCACAATTTTTTTGCTTCTGTCGGCAAAGTTGCTCTCGGCCTCAATTTCATTTTTGCCTCAATTGGTGAAAGTTGAGAAGTCTGTTGTTGAGGTTTCTTAGTTTTATTTTTGTTCTTCATACATGTTGTCCTTAAATAGTGATTAAGTTTTAATGCAACGTTTAACTCTACTCAAAAATAAGTTCGTTGTCTTAACAAATAAATTAAGTAGGCGAGTAGATATTTCGAATCCTGATTCAAAAAAAAAAAAAATGAGACTTGAACTACAACTCTCGGCTGCGTGTTGATTATACTTTCGACAACGATTCTAGATCCTAACTGCAAAAAAAAATAATTATCGCCGTTAGGAAAAACCCTCCGTATTCAACCGTTCTTCAATGAATTGTTATTTAATTTTAGAGTTATTTCACAAAATTTTATTTTTAATCACCATTCAGTGTCTTCAAATCCGACTTCTACTTCCAACACCGTAAAATTTAAAACTGCGAGAGAATTTAACGGAAACAATGCACGGTGCGCAATTTTCAATTTGACGACGTCAACGCACACAAAAATCCTCAACCACGGAAAATTTCAAAGCAATTTTGCTTCACCTTATACAGTAACTTTCCGTACCGAGACCAACAGTGCGTCATTGATATCGAGAACCTTCCAACTTGGTAAAATTCACAAGATTTTGCAAAATCTAGACAGCAGTCACAAATGGCGAATTATAAACCATGTTCCAACGAATGAAAAAAAATATAGCGAATATTTGGATAAAATATCAGATTGAATAGGGTCCATAGACATTTTAGTAATAAATAAAACTCATAGCTTTCTCGCGAAAAAAGACAAATCGATAACCACTCAAAATTTTAGGGCAATCGGTCAAGAAGAAAATTCTAACAAAACCAATTCCGATAAAAAAAAAAACGATCTATATGTACACTCCGTGTCTAATTATAATGTAGATAAATACCCAGTAACGCAAGATTGAAATCAAACATTTTGTCAAAAATTTAATTGACGTTGACGAGGGGGAATCACTCTTTTGAATGGATTATGTCGATGCACATTATGTCGCTGCACCATATTAAATATCTTACAAAGTCATTCAGAATGTTGAAACAGACCAGAAGAGAAGGCAAAATAATGTAAACGATGAAACATTTACGAATACAAGATACATCGAAATTAATTAATTAATCAAAGATGAAATCGAAATACCTTATAAAATATATGACGATTACAAGTATTGTAACTAGTAGAATAAGCAACAGTATTCCAGTTGTAATCCAAAAAGTTTTTAAAGTCACAGTTTTCTTTGATTCTGGTTCTGGATCTTAAATATAAGCAATCTAGTTATAAACAGTAATTAAATGCTATTTTGATACAAAAAGTCAATACGATCCAACGTATCTATGGACATAGTTAATTATTTACAAAGCTGATCAAATAAATATGGGGCCAAGGGACCCCAGACAACGGAGTACATTGGCTGAAAACTTTTCTTGAAATAGCCTAATATAAGAGTTTCTTCCATCAAATACTGCGCAACAATAGTTCTCTCGTTAGTCATAGGACATCGAACAAGGCTAAAATTAGGCAAGTTCTGGTACGTAACAAAAACATATGGTTCCAAATGTCCAACAACTTGATAATTTGGTGAGGCTATACTTGTCAGTATACACCAAATGGCGCGCATTGGGATAAAAATTATAAAATAAATATTGCAATATTGAGGGACGGTACCAAATTTAAAGGTTACCTCGTATCCATACTGTAACCGTGGCTGGCTGAGTGCTATATCTGTTGTCATCGGCAATGTCAGGGTCCATATTTTTTGCTGTAACTTGAAACTCGTACTGCAGCACATGAATAAAAGAGGAATTTGTTGTGAAAAATTTCCCCTGGTATTTCTAATGTATATACATTGGCGAATTTTGACTTATAATTTCTTACTTCAATAACGCCATACAATAGACCAAATAAGAATAAACCGTTGAACATTATTAAGCTGTTTGTTTACAATAAATGAACTCCTTAATTAAAATTAAATTAAAAACTGCCTCCTTCTTGAAGTGCAATTTCAAATCCTAGAATATTGAAATTAAGCAATATATTGTTTCAAAAATGTCTATAGTAGGTAGTAATCGTGCCTGATGATCATGGTCGATTGTTGCGAAGCCATATGTGAATCGTATTGCTCGAATCCAAGACTGGAATACCCGAAAATTGAAATTTTGTAATAGAAAATGATTGCTACATAGTTATTAAAATTGAATTATTAAGTTATATTAAAAAATAAATCTGTAAAATCCACATAACTCCTATGGTTGGACTCACAGTCTTTTGGTTAAAGTTTATTTGATCATTTTCGACATAAACTTTTCCGTCCGGGGTGATTTTAAACGGTGTTGCTGCAGACATTTCCATCATCAATATAGCCTAAACAAAAAAAACTATTTATTTACTTGAGATTGCATAAACATATATTTAGGTCGCTGATTTGACAGTCTCGTGGTCATATCATGCCCCACATATTTTAGTCCCTCTGGATAGAAATGCAAATTTTAAAGTCAAATAATATCCTCTCAAAATCTTGCTTTACTCAAAGCGTAAGTATTTCTATAAGATAGATCAAACTCAGGATTTGTCAAACTCGATGTCAATATGTACCCCTCGAGAAAGGTATAATTCGCTTGCGTATCCACAAAAATATCTTGCGTGCTGTGACTGGACGAAATAGGTAATGTGAACCGCGAATGTAGACTTAGTAGTTATTGTAGTTGAAAATTAGATGCGGTGAAATTATTACTTTCAAAAGAGTTGAGAGTATATACGAGGCTTCAAATATTACCTTCAGGTGATAAAATATTTTAAGGAAGATTTGAAGTTATGTGAAGATTAGTTGTTAGACTCAATTTTATGTGCCCCTTGAAAGGAGGAATGTACCCCTGAGCAGTGACGGGTTGTGCAGAATCTGTCCGGGGTAAAATCTTGCAAAATTAAAAAAGAAACAGCTTTCGACACTTTATAATTCAAAAATTGTTCCCATGTGTATTTCTTGATTAGTACTTCAATGTTGATATAGAAAAAAATTCTCACATTGGGATCATTGTCTTCGTCTATTACATTTATATGGATCAAAGTATTGCTATCTTTTTCATACACAAATAAAATTTGGCTTCCATCGTCAACAACGTCACCTTCGTATATGTCTGGTAGAAATGCTGGAGGATATTCGTCTTTATTTAAAACTGTAACCTGAACAAAACGAAGATTGTTCAATTTTTAATTAATATTGTGAAGATGTTTGTAAATCGTTGCTAGGTGGGTAATGGACAAAATGGAAAAGGTTATGTTATCTACAAGTATGATAATTATCGGTCATCCATAACTATATTTAGGGCAAATTAACAAAAAACAGCGACGCTCCAAAAAACATTTCATCCTAATAATTAAAGCGATTGGCACAATAGTTATTATGCTTAAAATAACATAAAATAGTTTTTAGCAAATTTACTTTAAAAATAGCCCAATTTTTTCGAATTTCAAGCGAGCGATGAATCAAACTTGGAGGAAATAGTAAACTAAATACTAAGTAAATATTCACAGCCAACAAACCATTTATTTACACGTAACTCAATGTCAGAATTACAGATTGTTTTGAAATAAAAAAATTTCTGTTTCTATGCTAAGTCCAACAATCTAATTTATATGAAATCAGAAACTAACCTGTAGGTAAGCAACTGAGTATCGATCGGGATTATCAGTCTGTTCTGCTTTAACAGTTAGAGTTATCAAAGAAGCTGAGAGTATTGGCTGTATTACACTGACTTGTCCGTACACCTCGTCAATGACAAAATGAGAATAAAATGTCTCACTTTCTGAATGTGTGAATATTTAATTAGGTGCTTATACATGAGATCTTATTTTAATAGTAACCAACCAACCTGTGAATCAAGCTACATTAACACGACGCGCTTGACATAATTCTGATGCATGATTCATGAACCCAAAATATAACTCTATTCGCCAGCGGAGGAGAATGCTACCCATTCACTTCCCCATTTTTCAAGAACTCTGTATACCTTACAAATACACATGTTTATTTAAGGCTTAAATAAAAATTAAATTTTAAGCACATATTGTACTGCAATATCATCATGCTATCTAATAGACTAGGGTCCGCAAGTTGTAAATTTGAATAATGTTCAACGTAAATCAAACGAAGTGCATGGCAACCGAAATCACCAACCCAGACACGTGATCGCATTATCTATATAACTTGTGATGTAACAATGAACTCAGGTCGGTTCTTTACGTTAATGACATTTTATATTTCACGTGCGCCGCGTTTGCATTGTTGTCTCCGCTTGAATATTTTTATAATTTATTATATTAAAATCCCTGACCTAGGCTGTAGGCCCTTCGTATACTCTTTATCAGTTGTATACCCAACTCACGGTCCGGTATACACTTGGGTATACCGTATACCCGGTTCAAGAGCACTGCTCTACAGTTTGTCATAATCTATTCTATTTGATACGTCGGGGCTTGGCAAGCGTTGAGGATAGTACAAACCAAGATCAGAATATAAGTTTTTAAAATTTCGTTAGCGAAGCATACACTCTGTACTCAAAATGGCTTTATCATTCCCCGTCATATTTCCAATTTCATATATTAAACATCAGTACTATCAAGTTTGGATCACCAAGCAAGTCAAAATTAGCCAATGACTGACTATACATTTATTGACTGTATTACCTGAGGTAAATTCGTCTGCGAAGCTATAGATAATTGGTTGATTTATTCCAGTATCTCCGTCTATTGCTATAATTGGTCCAGGAAAAATATTTAGCGAATCATATGTCTGTAAACAAAAAATAGTTGATACACTGATGCTAAATTTTGACAAGGTTTTCGTCTTAGTAAACTCAATCACAGTTTCGGTTATTGAAGGTTTTTATTAATATATATGATTTATTAATACAATTTGGGTAAAAGAATTGATAAAAAAAATGAAATATTCGTTGTACTCAAAATCTGACCCATCAAATATAAAAAATCAATATATATATATATATAATCCATTTCTTATATTCCAATAGAAAAAGATGTAAAATTCGTGGAAGAGAAGTTGTAGATATATTCTAACAAATTCAACTATCGCCTCGTCCTTTAAAAATAAAACTTGGCCAATTTTGAAATTGTGATAATGTGACTTTATTAATGACAAAAATTATTACATATTAGGACAAAAATATATCTTACGTTACTAGTGACCATGCTTGTAGTATAGAGAGGAGGGCAAACATTATGACAAGGAAGGAATATCGGTCGTGAATAATCGAAGCCTTCTATTTGTATTGTAAGTGTTTGATAATCATTAAATACTACTTCATCACCGTTGCTATCAGGCCCGGTGTTTGTCAGTTGTCTGGAATGAAATAAAAAATAAATAAAATAAAAGTTTTGATACCTGATGTGAAAGCATTTTGAAAACAAAGTTATAGAGCAACTCTAGAATTAAATAACTGAAATTTGTAACCAATTGTTCTCAGTTGAATATCATTTTATTTCGGGAAAAATTAAATTGTTTCTTTTTTTTTGTTGCTGTTATTTGTTTTTTGGTCTTTAAAATTGATATAGAACTATTACTTGAAAATTTTGAGTCATTCAAATCTGAATCTGAATTTCTATGATATGATAATTTACCACAAATTTAGCTGAGTTCAAAATACCAGGGAACTGCCTGAATATGTATTTGGCGAATTTGTCTAGTGATGGACAATGGTTTCTCAGTAAAAGTTTCATCTGTGCAAACCGAAGTAGGTATGTTTAGTTCACGCAGGCATACGAAAACATAAGCACGCAAGCTTTTCAAAATTAACCTGCGTAATTCACAAGAATACATGTAATTGAAAATAGAAAACATTAGTATGCAACAGAAAACTACTCGCGTTCACAGATAATATAAATTTAATAATCTTTCAAGAGATAATTCCACATCAAAATCTCAATTTTTGACTGATTAAAAAAAAAGATTCTTAAATCAACAATGATACAGCAACATCAACAACGACAACACGATTAGAAAACAATTTACAATTTAGATACAGTTTGTGTCCAAAAATATGATTTAGTATTCTCATGAATATGCACTCAAATACAATATTTTTATTTGGTTTTGTTTCTACATACATCCTATTAAACAAGTAGAATATAAACATTGGAGTTTCCCTATTAATTTATGATCTTAAATATAAAAAATATTCCCATAAATTTTGTACACTGTTGTATATTGCGCAACGACTAAAATCGATGTTATCTAAATATCATTTATTCTTACATACATACATCGTGACTAACTCCCCTAAATTCTGGGTATAATCATGCACATACAGAAACTCAATTGTTGAATAAATCTTTCCATTCTCGTGAATTAATGATGCATGTTTTTTATTTTGCTCTTATTATTTTCAGGTAGTTCTTTGTAGATAGAAGTGGTTTCGTATAGTTTAATATGAAAGTTTCGAATGGAAAGCTATTAACCTCATAAATCAGGCAGGTCGCAGGGAAAGTCTATAATAGAGTAAGGGTATATTAGACGTAAATATAGAAACTTCCTATTAGAATTAACATTTGTTCAGAACCCCCATTTGTTCTATAATCCTTGTACATAAAATATATATACTATATACATATATGCTCTATATAACTCGTAATTCTTACATATCAACTGTGTGATTTTGGTATTCTGTATAATTCAAACTCTTGAGAAGAGAAAATTTTCCACTGATCGAATCTACATCGAAGTATCCTGCTGGAGTTTGACCCGTGATTGAATAAGTACAACTTTCGGTTGTTGGATCACCGTTGTCGGTTTTGGTGATGTAGATAGGTAAAATAGTGTTGATTGGGAAGTTCTGTTTTGATAATAAAAAAATAGTTTATAAAGGATACACCAGATGTAATTTATACTAAAGGTGAATCCCCTCCCTCCCTAAAAACCGGCCATGTAGTTAGTGTCTATTACAGTGGCTTAACCACGCCCCACTTCAAAAAATAACTATTCAACAGTAAGTTACAAATAACAGTAAAGCAAAAGTATGTTCAATTTTAAAAACACGTTGAAAGTACGTGGATGCAATCGCAATATCTAAACAATAAACAAATTCGAATATTTAAAATAAGGCGAGCAAGATCAAATCTAATAAATATTTTTTTTCACGCCCCCTTAAAAAATTGTCTAAAAATTCCTAAAACCCCCATTGTGGGTCGTTTAGGAACAACTGGTCTGAATTGTACCAAACTTTCGTGCAAAACGTTCAAAACTAATGAAATTTTTGGATAAAATCATACACAAATAAAAATTCAAGTCTACAAGTGTTAAATATATATTTTTCATTTTCGTAGATGTAAAACAATGTGCTCGATTTCTTGGGGGTTATCTATTATATCGCTATTTTTTGAAGGTAAATATAATTTTTGTGAATTTCCTAGAATTTCTCTATTAGGCATAATACTTTTGAGCAAATTATATTAAAAATCAATGTTACTGAAAAAAATTAACCTCGCTTTGTGATGTCTGACCTGGTGAAGTTATTTGAGATGGATAATTGTTGGTGTAAAACAAATGTACTCCTGTAACCCATGTTATCGACTAAAATAATAAAAAAGTAATTAGGACAATTTTGATGAGGTTTACGTTTAAGAATTGCATCATTTTGAATAACTTAATTTTAGGACATTCTATGGCTGAAGTAAATTTGTTCAAAATCTCCATTCAACTCCACAATAACTATATGTTTCAAATTTGGTTAATGGAAATAATTTACAAAATGAAAACGACCAAATATATGGACATGTAGTCAAGAGTTCGATTCCTACTAAAAATTTACGTAGTTTAGAAAAAGGGTTATTTTCCCCCATCAATAGCAGCAACATTACTGAATACAAGAGAGCTGTGCTTAAATATATGAACGTGTCACAAGGTGTCGCTATTTTTCTGACACCTAAAATACGAATCTCTTGAACTCCACAGAAATTTTTGAAATGAGTAAAAGTAATAGCCTTCTGGCAAAAAATCAATCTTTGACCACTGAAAATTTCAAAGCAATTGGTCCAGTATTCGAAGAGAAAAGCGATTTCATCATGACGAAAGAGAATAATAATAATAACACGAACAACAACATAATATTGAAACGATCGTTATGTACACGTGTCCAACTACAGTGATCTTAAGTCACGTAATTTAACGTCTGTTCCGTTTCTAAGTGATGAGACTAATAACTCATGTTCAAAACACTACCCACAGTTTGAATGCGAGGAGCAAAGTAAGTAGCTACAAAATATCAATCATAAACTAAGGAAACTCATTACAACACGGTACTCTGTATTCTAAAAGTATATGTATCGATTGCACTTTTAGCAAACGAATTTTTGCTAAAGTTCATTCTGAGATTTGTTTATCAGATATTTAATTGTACTATTAAAAGCTTACAGGCGGTCCAAGATTGCTGTTACAAAAATATTTAATTTTTTATTGTATTAAGAAAACGCGGTAGATTTATTTTGAAACGTGTACCTGATTATAAATATCATAGCAAGCCACGTATCCATTTATTTCAGCGAAGCTGACACCTTGCATAATGGGAAATCGATATCTGTTCATGTTTGTGGAGTCTTTAACATAAATTGTAACTTCTTGCAGTCCGTCTGTTTTATTGAGCTCGAAATAATTATCCAGATCTCTATCTAGCAATATATCATGTAGTTCATATCCATATCTTCCTTCGAAATATAAAGTTGTCACAAGAGTTCCGTTCGGCGCATTTTCAAACACACTTGCTCCAATTAAACCGCTTTCAATTGTGCATGGCACTACAAAGAAACAACAAGATTAAATTAATTAAATATTTTTATTTTTTTAATTCGTTTCTATTCAATTATTCGGATATATTATTGGATACAAAGAGAACCTATAGATTTTTTTGATGAATTCTTGTTTGTTGTTGTTGTTGTTGAAATTAAGTGGGCGTACAGAAATATTTTTTTCTTATTGGCAAATAATGTAAAGAGAATTTATCAGAACTTCTGAAGTAATGTATCACAGAACATAAATTCGATTATAAAAGTCTTTTCATTTTCAAAAAAATCATTTTGTATATTCGTAAGGTTTAGCAATAGACAGCACTAATGTTTCCGTGTTCGATTTGAGATTAAGTTTTTATTTAACATCAACTAGATAGATAAATTTTTGAAAGATGAACAAAATATTCAACTTTTCGAATTATTTTGCATTACTCTGTTGAGTGCAATATACTCATTTTATATGATAACATATAAACCAATTCATTTTATTTTGTTGTCCTTCTCATAATAAATTACTAGCAAATAATACTTACAACTATGATTAAGTTCCAAATAGACGATGAAGCAAAATACTGTATAGCACTTTAGTCCAAACATCTTTGCCGTCCGTTACTATACATAACTAAAAGTGGCAAGTAAAATTGTATTGGCAATTTTCAAATATGAATAATAATAATATCCAAACTTATATTCCTATATTCCCAAAATTTTTATTTCACCATTAGTAATACGCTCAGTTAACGTCTCTTCGAAGTCGGTTCGAATAAGACCATATCATTAATTACTCTTAAATTAAAGGAACTAATCGTTTATTGACAAAGCAACTTTCAATTAGAACACAGGTAAAACCATTAAAGAAAATAAACTAGTAAGGTTAAGAAAATTCACTGATAGCCTACTGTAGGACAAAATTATGTCAAAAATATTGGGATAACTTTTCATTATTTTTCCATTGAGGTTACTTATTTATCTAGATAATAACATCTAGATAATACTATATTCTGATAAATATCTATGTGAGAAGCAACATCAACCTGTACTAACAATACATAATGAATAATATGAAAATTTTCCTCGTAAAGGTAATACTTGCATAAAGTTTCATAGGTCTCCTTACCTCTCTAATTCATCAAAATCTAATTGTAACAACTCCAGAATAACCTACAAAGATAAACGACATTACGGAGAGAGCAAAATGTTTGCGTCAAACAAGGAATCTCTTAAACAAACACTTCTAAGGAATTATAACTAAACTGTGAATGAAAACAATTCAAACTTACTCGCATTGCGTGCACACTCAACCTAGCAAAGAATTCCATCTTCAGGTATATATTTCGTAGTAAAAATATGTGATATAAGCAAAAAAATAATTATAATACGTTAAACATATCGCCTAAACAAATATTAACTCATAGCTGACGAGGAATCGCAAAAAAAACTATATACATTAAATAAACTATAAATAAGCTACAACTTGTTGCTGAATTATTAGCAAAGATAGCGATCGTACAATTCAAGATGAAACTTCTACTTCAACTACTCACAATTATAAAAATACTAACAACAGATGTCATGAAAGTCATGACTTCTACCTGACTTACTAGATCCAAGTTATATTGGTTACCCAACCAAGTTACCAAACGATGACAATGTAAAACAAATCAATGTTATACAAATTTATTCACTTTCCAAAATTTGAATATAAAATTGAAATATACGATCTTTTCAATTTTCTTTCATTTTTCCGAGCCACGTTTTATAGTTTGAATTTCTAGAATCAACCAAATAATATTTAATTATTTTAATTACCAATATTTGCCATCATGCTATGTTTTATGCACGGTTAACTGTACCTTGATGTCGTATATTTATGATTTCTATCTAGTTTAATAAATTCAAATATCCCAAAGTAATTATGGCTTGGATTATTTGACTTATGGAATTTCAATATTAGAATGTGCACGTAGTAATATCTTGGACTTTGCCTTCTAGTGGGAAGGAATTTCAGTAGCGCCACCTAATATGACCTTGGCATCATCGCCGTGCGTATTGAAGATGGGTATAGTCAAGTGGCAAAGCGAGTCTGTAATGTTTCGTCCAATTAAACTCGGGATTTTCACACACGAGCGAAAGTGTGATATAAAACTTTGAATCACATTCGATCTTTCTAAAGTTTCCATGGAAGAGACATAAGTTTAAGCTCGTGTTCAATATAAATGCAATAATTCAAACTTGAGTTCTCCTGATGCTGAGCTGACGTCACTGGTTAGTGTTTGCGAAACTTACTTGTACGTATATCTTATCATTAGTGTATAAGCGTTTGTATCAATTATAACGAGATTTATGGTGTTGTTTAATTTTACTCGCGCCCGCGCTTGGTGAACCATTACAATTCGTTACAAGTTAACTAACATTCAAGCATGATACCGCTTTGATTGCTCACATACAGTGTGGCCTAAAATTTCATTAATGATTGTCTAAGGAAGTCCTAATGTGTTGTCAGGCATTTGAACGTTTATTCAAGAATGCTTCACGAAATCACTTTGTTATGGCGTCAGTTTAAGAGAGACTGTAAATTTTGAAGGTAGCAAATGCATAGGAATGAGCTACTGTGTTAAAGAATTTGTTGCGAAAAATCTGTTTCTTGTAAGTGAAGATATTTAATTGTCACGCCAACTATAGTTTATGGTGTCAGTGTTGCAATATAGGCACAACAACAGGCACAAGGTGACCCAAATCACGAACCCATAAATTTCTTACTTCGAAGATAATTTCTGTTTCTGTGAGATTGTACCCATAAGTTTGATCAATTTAGGACACTTAACAGAAAAGTTAAGGTTATGTTGAGAATATGTTCTAAATGACTTGGGTTTTGTTTTGTGAGTCACCCTGTATTTACTTCTGATTTATATGGTTTGAAATTTACCTGAGTACTAGTGGAGTCTGTAGGCGTATAGACTTCACAGCAATGTTTAATTAAAAGTCTGAGAGTGCAGATCATGTCTTAGGAGACGATTAGATAATATCATGAGTTATTTTTGTTGAAAATAATCTTTCGACCTCCCCAACCAGCAACAGCAAAGGACCAAAAAGTATAGTAACAGTAAACTTTAATACATAACTCGAACAGAGCGAAAAACACACGCAGCCTTAAAAGCAGAAACAAAACGGAAGGGGAAAAAGTAAGCCCAAAAGAGGGTTGCCAGAAATTCCAATTATACGATATACAAAAATATAACACTCCCACTTAATTGAAATTTCTCCGAATTAGGCTAAACATTTTTAATGCCCATACAATTACGTAATCTCTCAAAACGATCCCTAGGAAGACTCTTAGTGAATATATCAGCAAGCATATTTTCAGTAGGACAATATTCAAGTTCAAGAACCCCATTGTCAATTGCCTCCCTAATAAAATGATAACGTATATCAATATGTTTAGTTCTACCATGCGAAACAGGATTCTTTGCAATAGCAATTGCCCCCTGGTTGTCTTCCCTAATAATTGTGGGATAATTCTGTACCATTCCAAGTTCAGCAAGCAATTTCCTCAGCCAAATAACTTCTTGTGTGGCAGAACTCAATGCAACATATTCTGCCTCTGCAGTTGATAGAGCAACAATGGGTTGTTTCTTGCTGAGCCAACTAATGGCACCACCGGCAAGCATGAAGAGGTTTCCACTTGTAGAATGTCTATCATCTTGATCACCAGCCCAATCTGCATCTGAATATCCCATTAGATCATTTCCAGACTTCACATATTTCAAGCCAAAGTCTGATGTAATTTTCAAGTACTGGAAAATTCTTTTAACAGCTGTCATGTGTATTTTCGTTGGGCATGAATTAAATTTTGACACAACACTGACAGCATTCGAAATATCAGGACGAGTAGCAATGGCTGCATATAAGAGACTTCCAACCATTGCTTGATACTTTTTAGGATCAACTTTATCCACATTTCCACCGTCATCCTTTTTTAGCTTTACATTTGTATCCGACGGATTACTATAAGGTTTTGAATTTTTCAGACCATACTTTTCTAGCATCCCCAGTATGTACTGCTTCTGGTGTAATTGTATGCAATTATTTTCAGTATCTTGTTCGATGCTGACCCCCAAACAATAATGAAGCTCACCCAAGTCTTTCATCTTGAATCGAGTAGAAAAACTTTCCTTCAATTTTGTCAGTTCAAACACCGATTCCGCAGCTATGATAATATCATCCACATACACTGCAACAATTGTTATTGAATCGGTTATACGTACATAAACACAAGGATCAGCAGAACTTTGCAGAAAATCCATGGACTTCAAAAACGTACTCAGAACACTATTCCAGCACCGTGGTGACTGCTTAAGTCCATATAATGATTTTTTCAATTTGCATACAAAATCTTCTTTGCCCTGTGCAACATAGCCTTCAGGTTGCACCATATAAATCTCTTCCTCCAGTTTCCCATTTAGAAATGCAGTTTCAACATCCATTTGATGGATCAACATATTCTTTTCTAGTGCTACAGCAAGCACAGTTCTGATAGATGAAAATTTGACAACTGGAGAAAAAATTTCATCATAGTCAATGCCATACCTCTGAGTATATCCCTTAGCGACCAGCCGAGCCTTGAATCTTTCAATTTTGCCATCACTAGTATACTTCGTTTTGAATAGCCAACGACACCCAATAGGTTTTCTACCGGCTGGTAATTTTACAAGATCCCAAGTTTCATTTTCCATCAAGGATTTGTACTCATTTTCCGCTGCAGTTTTCCATTGTCTTGCACACTCAGAATTCAACGCATCTTCCAGAGTTTTCGGCTCTGCAATTTGACTAGCAAGATACGCAACATGATATGATTTATCGTGCAAGGCAACATCTACATATTCATCATAGCCAAACCTAATTGGTGGATTCACTTGTCGACTAGATCTCCGAGGCATTTCTTCATTTGATTCGTTGACTCCCACTGCATCAATATCTACTTCTATTTCCCTTGGTGCAGATTTTTCAGCTTTTGTATCGGAACGTTTTACAGTTGTATCAAATTTTCCTTGACCAAAATCACTTTCATTGAATACAACATCTCTCCGAATAAAAACCTTTCCAGTTCCTTCCACCAGTAGTCTGTAACCTTTTGACCGCAAATCGTAGCCAACGAATCTCAATTTTTCAGCTTTTTTATCCAGCTTTTTCCGCCTACAATCTGGTACATGAGCATAAGCCACACATCCAAAAACACGAAAATGACTTACATTCGGCTTTCTTCCATACCAAAGTTCGTAAGGCGATCTGTTTCCCTTGATGGCAGATGTCGGCACCCGATTTCTGATATATGCTGCTGCGTAGACAGCTTCAGCCCATATTCCCTTTTTCATTCCGGCATAGCATATCATTGATCTTGCCGACTCCATCAACGTTCTATTCATCCTCTCCGCCACACCATTCTGAGCCGGTGTGTGAGCAACTGACAGTTCATGTTTTATGCCCCCTTTCCGCAAATATGCTTCAAAATTCTTTGAGACGTATTCACCACCATTATCAGTTCTCAAAGTTCCAATTTTAACACCAGCATTATTTGTCATCAGGGTTTCAAATTCTTTGAACTTGTCAAATACCTCATATTTGTGCTCCATGAAATAAACCGCACAAAACCGTGAGTAATCATCAATAAAAGTGACAAAATACCTTCGTCCGCCAATTGACTCGACTTCCATTGGCCCACAAACGTCACTGTGTATAAGTTGAAGTTTCCGTGTAGACCGAATTTCACCAACCGCCCTAAGCGGCTTTCGTTGAATTTTTCCCTCTACACAAGCTTCACAAAATGACAGTTTTGCATCATCTGGAATTTTCACATTCAAAACATGGCCTTTCCGTACAGCTTCCTTTAATTGCTGACCACCAAGATGACCCAATCTTTGATGCCATAAATCCAGATCAGATTTCTTTCCGTCAACCAGCATTCCCTTATGTTCCAGGTTTGGTCGACAATTTAACTGATACAATTTTCCATTCAATGTTCCCATTCCACGTACAATTCCATTTTCACCGTAGATCCAGCAAGTCGACCGATCAAATTTCAAGATATTTCCTTTGCTTGCTGCTGAATGTACTGAAAACAGATTACACGCCAGTTTCGGAACAAACAGAACGTCATATAAAGTACTTCGCTTCGACTTTTTTCCGTGAAACAGCATCACAAGGTGAACATTTCCCACACCAAGTGCTTCCACTGTTCTGCCATCTCCAAGTTCCACTTTTTCCGGAACACTGAATTTTCTATAGTTTACCAGAAATTCATTTTCTTTAGTCATGTGACGCGACGCCCCAGAATCCACCAGCCACTCCGATCCATGGGCACTGTTAGATGAACCGATCATTGCTGAATCATCATCTTCACTGGATTCTGGTTCAGGCATGGGAGTCATAGTTTCCGCTTTATGGTATCCAGTGGGCACATACTTTTTCTTCATTTTACGGGGGCAATTTCGCCGAATATGCCCCTTTTGCCCACATCCATAGCACGTACGTTTCTTGTCGAAACCGACCAAAGCTGACTCGTCTTGATTGCTATTCTTCCCATTTCCAGAGCGACCATTCATCTTTTGCTCTTCGTGTAAAAGCGCCTGTTGAACAAATCCTAGGCTAATTCCATCTACACGCGATTCCAGAGCAGTTACCAGAGTTGAATAGCTCTGTGGAAGACTTCCAAGCAATGTTACAACTTGATCTTCTTCACTGATAGGCGCCCCAATAGCTGCCAGCCTATCTGTAATTTCTTTCATCCGCTTCAAGTGATCATCCATCCGCATTCCCTTTTCCATCTCCGCACGAAAATACTGCTTCTTTAAAAATAGCTTGTTTGCCAACGTATCCCGTTCAAAATGATTACGCAATGCATCCCAAGCCGCCTTAGGTTTATCAAAAGAAGTTACCAGGTATAACTGTGACGGATCGATAGACAAAACAATTGTTGACAATGCCTTTTGCGACTTTTTGTTGAATTCGAGCACTGCTGCTTCACCAGCGTCTTCAGTAAGCGTAACCGAGCCATCAACATATCTCCACAGCTCCTTTGCAAGCAAAACATGACGCACCTGAAATTTCCATGTTGTCCAATTTGACCCATCCAATCTATCAATAGACCATTTGTCCTCCATTGAACCCGATTAGAACCAGTCAACGACCGACAACAATATTCAGTTCAAAATCAGCAGCAAAAGTCACTGGTTACTTTTCAGTCTTTCAGCGCAGCGGAAGCGTGCTGGGCCCATAACCTGTTGAAAATAATCTTTCGACCTCCCCAACCAGCAACAGCAAAGCACCAAAAAGTATAGTAACAGTAAACTTTAATACATAACTCGAACAGAGCGAAAAACACACGCAGCCTTAAAAGCAGAAACAAAACGGAAGGGGAAAAAGTAAGCCCAAAAGAGGGTTGCCAGAAATTCCAATTATACGATATACAAAAATATAACAATTTTTTTTTATCTTTGCTTTATATTTAGAGGTGATATGATACTATGAATGAAATCTATATAGAAGTTGTCATATTTTTGCATATTTGCTTTTGATTTCTACTGCCCCCGTAATTTGTAAACACACCCTTCTTTCTAAATGATAAACAGGGGAGCATACTGCTCTTACCGCTTATCTTTCTTAGTCTCGTTGTTTATTGGTCCCAAATTATAAATCTCTCCAATACTAAATTGATAATTGATGTATCATTTTTGTGGCGTTCGAAGTTCGAACGTTCGTAACATATAGAATACACTTGCAAGTCTAATATATTTTCATACTTTTAGATTCCGATTCTTAATGATAATCTAATCAGCATAAATGGGTTGAATCATATTGCACAATCAGATGTAAATACTTCAATGCCGTATTGGCCAATGCTTTATAACAAACCACTGCTACGCGAAAACGCCAGAATCAATCTTTGATAAATATATACCAAGCATTATGTCGGATGGCATTACTATGGTACCAGAAACTTCAACTAAAGGTTAGTTGGGCTTTTTGAAACTGAAAATTAAAAATTATTTTTAAATTCTTCCAGAATTAATTTTTTGAGAACTGTATTGATGTATTTGTTTACATAGAGTTTCGTTTCGTATTATGTTTGTGGTCCAACCTATCCACACCTATTTTTGATAAATTTATCCAATCCAACCTATTTTTGAAAAATTTATCCCTTTGTTTATTTGGGAACTTTTTATTCCCCTTTGCTATGTGTAGATATTCTGTTTATGTTATTCTTTCAATATATATAAAGCATCAGCTAGTTTCTAATGCAACTCTATCCTTAGATTTTCTAACGTTGATATAGTTTATAGTGTGTGCGCAAATATGTATTGTATGAGGGTGGAACCTACGGACGCAATAAAATCACCAATATTCGTCACCCCGTTACTGATTCTAGAATTATGTATTATATGAGAAATTTTAAAAAGATCTCATAGACTTATCAGTGGATCATCTAAAGTAGAGATTTTCATTCTTTATTTTATTGTTTATGACCTGGCAAATTGCAAGGAAAACTATAAAAATCGACAAGGCCTTGGCAGGAAAATGTTACCGCAGCTGACGACTAGAGTTATATTTGGCGTTTCGAAAGTATTTATTAGATTTATGTGAACCGTGTCATGTTATTGTACCTTACGTGATGAGATACATTTTTATAATGACATGGCTGAACCTGCTGCTACTGATTTCAACTACTACGAATGAGAACCCGTTATTAAAATTTGTATTCCATAGCTAGATAAAAGTATCCCCGACTGAACCTCAGGGCCTTGATGCGAGTAATGTTGAAAGCGACACATGAAAATTCAGAATACTCAAATATATTGCATTTAGATTCAAATGAAGTCACGTGGCAGATTTTCTGGATAACCACAGGAATATTGACTGTAATCGTCATTTTTCTACTCATTGCAACAATATTTCTACTTTGGTAAATTTATTTTAACTTTGTTTGCATTTGCATTGGTCGAAGTTTTTGGCAAAACTAGAGCTGATGCGCCAGGGGCCTAGAGGGCCATCAATTCATATATATATATATAAATTTGGGCTGCCTACGTGTACACGCTTATACTTATACAATATTTAGAAACTGACATGAACACACATTTTACATTTTCTATAATTCATCTTAACTGTATATAATACCAGTTATAAAAAAAATAACTATATACTATGAACCAACGTTGTGAAGTGGCATGTTTTCACTGTAGTCGTAGGTAAAGCTGGGGTCAAATATTTTTCAGTTCGGAGTCGCGTGTCAAAATTTCCCCCAAAACTCAAAAATCAATAAGTTTACTAATTGTTCTTACCAGATATGAAAAGGTGCGTTACATATCTCATTTGATTTTGTTCGAGTTCGGAGACAGGTGGAAAGTAAAAATTTAAACAACCCTGCCGGAGGCAACCCAGAATCAGGTGTAGGAGTCGAAATTACATTTCCGCACAATCCAAATTGCATATTAGATTTTAAAAGCAATATTTGCTGTTGAATAGTATAGGTGGAAAATAAAAAATGCGTATTCAAAGTGTTGATTATTTAAAATCGGTAGAAATGTCTTTCTATGTGTATTGCAATTTTCAAATATTACGATACATTACTGCATATTAAATTATAAATGCCCACAAGGTTTTCGTGATTCCATGGATGCGCATGGCAGGTTTATGACACGCCATTGAAATAATTTACATAACACTTCACAATTTACCATGGAAGTATTTACGAAAATGTGTTTTATTGGCAACATATACAAAGGTTTCTGAAAAAAAGCTTCATAAAGTTTACTAACTATCTTTGTGAGGAAGTTTCTAATCGACGGTATTACTTTATGTTACAGTCAATATTGTAGAAATCGCAGAAGACCCGCCAATCAACAAACTACCGAGCAGCAGTCAACAGTCTTATCTAATATGTACACGGAGCAAAACAGACGGCGCTGTAAGTCGAACACTTATCTTTACTGTTAGATACATTAATAGGCGTATATCGGAAATATGCTAAACAGTTGCCTTCTGTCCTGAGAGCTTAATAGTACTCAGACGTGTATCACACATATGAAGCTACCACGAAATAAGAATCCCGTCCTACGGAACTGCATGACGCTCCATGTTTTGAGTACAACAATGATCATTAATGCCTATTAGATATCTTAAATAATCGGCGTGATTCAATAGTAACTTAAAAGTTGCGTTCTGACTGAAAAGCTTAATTGTACTCAAACTTGTGAAACACATCCGCAGCTGCCCTAACTAGTGAATAAAAAGGTAAAATATGACGGAGAAGCAAGTCGCTCAATGTTTGCAGTACAACAGCAAAAATGGGAAATAAACAATTATCCTAAAATGGTTTCAGAAATATTTCGTTTAAAAATTTAGAAACGAACACGACAAAGATTGAAAAAGTCATGCCATATTAGGTTTCTCCATAAAGTTCTGAATGTGAACCTATATTTTGTATGTAAATGGTGCTAATTGCTGCAAAAAGACCAAATATTGGTGCTACGTTGGTATGCGATTTCAGCTGTGTGATCTCAATGATTTTATTGAGGGTTAGAACTTGAATTATATGAGAATATCTTAAGAGAATAAACGCATACCGCAGTGGCACCACAATAAGTGTCACTTTGGCATGAGATGAAGATCACGTTAAGCAAATAATATCTCATACCAAAGTAACACCAAAAATTTTGTAAAACCATGGAAAAATGACAAAACGTTTGCTGCAATGCACCATAATTACATATTCTGCCAATCATAAAGCAACTGTTATCAAGCCTTTCAGAAATTCATGCATAAATTTTTATTTAATGTAAATTTTGAATGTATATTTTAGAGTAGAAATATTTTTTTTATTATACTAAAATCCAAATTTTGTTATCAAACTTGGACGTTTCGGCAAATTGATAAACTTGGAAATAAAATTTCACCAATTCTATTTAAAAATATTTTAACAGCGAGTCGCTTTGACGGGCCAAATGAAATGAACTATCCAGAAGATTATGATGATGTCGGCCAACAACCACGCTTCTACCCAGACATGAGTAACAATACCCAACCGAGTCGAATTTACCGCCCAAATCAACCGTTTCCCGAAAAAATGCCACACCCTGCTCCGAGAAACTCAGTTCCCGAAACTAATATAGATGACCAGTCAAACCTTCCACCTCCTCCAGGTCCCAAACCTGATCATATGCGCCCATCACAATCTGAACCCCCATCTTCACCCACAAATACCCAAAATTCTCCGTCTGAACACTCAAGTGACGGTTACGAAAATGAATCAAACTATGACGATACTGGAACTCCGGGAGATAACAACAAGTTTGTAAATTTATATTGTTGTTAGAATAATTGGGAGCCATAGTATATTGTTCTGAAAATAAGGAATGGTTGTCATGGCATCACAGGTTGATGATGTCGAGTTCAGTATTTTGGAGAAAAAAAAGTTCCGAGATTCGGTATACGAGCTCGTAGCTAACTCAATTTATTACACCCAGGGTAAAGTGGTGGGTCGGATTTAAACCCGAGAGTTCAATCTGTAATACTTTTATAGTAAACTCTGACGATACTAAACTCTAACGTGTGGAAATTCACGACTTAAACATCTTGTGTGTCGCAGATAATTAGTTTATGAAAATATAACAAAACTGGGTTATTGCCCCACTCCAGCTCGTTTTTTGTGTTATGTTTTGTTTGTCAAATGTGATGTCAGGCCACTGAAATTAAATTAACTACAGACTAAAACATCTATTGCAATCCATACAAACCAAAACAATCCGGTATACTACTTCCTCAATCTGGGTTTTCAGGTTTTGCACCTTTACATTTTAAACAAGGCTTTATTCAAATGTTTATCGACACATAAGAGAGAGCTGCTATTTTTGTAACCATTTAGATTTGGTATTATTTAAACAATTTAATAATTGCATGTTATGTGGGATTCATGGGCTTGAACTTCAACTGGCTAAACCCTGGACTGAATGCTAAGCTATGGTGCTTAAAAACTAACAGCCGCCGAATGGTCGGGATGTGACACTCCCCTTTAACCTAGTTTAATAATTTGCAGGAATGCTTTTGAGAATAAACTTAGTCATAGTACAATAAAATAAATCTACACCATTTTTCATTCCAGCTATTACGAGACAACAATTATCCCGAATGAACAACCTGTATATGATGAAGTGGCGGCAGAGAATGAAGCATATGAAAACTCAGAACGATTAGTATAAACTGAAGAATAAATATTCATAAATATTCCGTAGAGATGATAGCCGACAAGACAAAGTTTTTTCGCGGGTGGAGTCCGAACACCTCCCTATTCCTTCACCGTTTGGTATTTTTTGTAGTCAGTTTTGTAGATAGTTTTTATCAGTGGCGCTTATTTTATAAAAATAGATTGCGTTGCGTCAAATATTTTTTCATCGGTTATTTTACAATCCAGGGTTTAATACTAAAAGCCAGCCAATGAAAGTGATTGCATAAATGAATTACACTCGAAAAGATATATAAATCACTGTCAATTTGTTCAAATAAATAAATGTAATTGATACTTAGAATACACGAATTGATACTTAGTAGAACCTTTAGCTCGTGGCTCCCAGAGAATTGCTACGTACCTCCTCCCCCATCCTACCTAAATGGGCGACGGCCATGGTTTATATATTGTTTACATTTCGTAATGGTGATATTTACCTTAGATTGATTGGTGCAATAGAAAGAGGAGTGAAATAAAAACAAAATCAAATGTTGAAGCGAATTAAAAATTTGAAATAAAACTGGTAGAAACTGAATATTTTCGAGAAGTTTAATTTTTTTTGTCATTGCTTGTTTTTTACTATTTTTTTTGAATACACATAATTTGAAAATTATTCGAGTTTCGATATTATTGACAAAATTACAAGACAGCCCATAGTGACTCTAATGAAATACTTCCAACTAAGCATGACTGAATAATGGATAACACATCTCTAGCCTTTTAGGATGATATTAGTGGAATTCATATATTCACGTGTTCCTATGCCTATGTTTTAAATTTTGTTGCTTTTTATATGTTATTAGAAAATTTTTGCGCTGTGTTTTAATTTTTATATCTCGTCCGTTTCTATAAATTATAGTGCAACATTTACAGTCATTGTAATTTGAGTAATACAATAAAATCAAACTCAGTGATAATATTTGCCTATGTTTCTTGTAAATTTAGAATATCTATTCTAAGAAATAAATCTAGAGCATACACTCAGACAACCGCGGCCGCGGTTTCGACCGCGGATGAATTACTCCCCAGCGTAAAATTTCCATGTTATGGTGCAGTTTTTCAAATTTTGTTCAGTTATTTAGTATTATTAAAATTCGTAATTAATGATGTAAAATAATATGTTTATACTGTGCCGGAGTAGGAGTTATGAGTATATCTGTATAGCTTCGGACCCAATAAAAATTGAACATCTAACGCAAATAGAGTTTTTATGCTCAGTGAGGGAGAAGAGAGGGTCCAAAACAGGGAAGAATTAAAAAAAAAAACCTTCACCAAAAGTTCCACTTAACTTCTTATTTTGTTTGTTTTTGCATTCGTTCGTTTGTTTCATTTCATTTATATTTGCTTTTGTATTTGCATAGCATTTGTGTTTGCTAGATCTTTACTTATAGATTTGAAAAACCTTGTACAAAATTGCATGATTCGCCTGATTCTTGTTCAGTCACGCGGAGGCTACCTAAAATAAGTTTGGAATTACAAAGGGTAATGAAACAGTGACGTAAGTTTTACGGAAGGTTTTACAATAGCTCAATCTATATGTACCATTGGGTGAAAAAACCTTGTTCTTCATGAAACTAAAATACATCATCCTAATATTATATTGTTTATAATTTTAGACATATCTATAAATTTTCGTTCCATCAAGCCCTTTAAGTATCATGTGGTATTTATCATATATTTAAAAAATGACTTGACGTTCTTGACGAATGACGTTCTTTTTCCATTGAAATTAGCAAGGATTTCAATAGGAGTTTTATTGCTTCATAATTTTTTTTTAATTTCAATAAATTTTCTCCAATTGAAATGAGATTAAAACATGGAATTATACGTAATGCGATTTAATATGGAAAATATACAAGGATTTTATGAGGTGGCACAATGACATGCGATGATAAAGTGCGATGGTACGGGCCAGTGGGCTCTGAAGAGACCACAGAGCAGTTGGAGGCAAAGCGTATATATAATATTACCACAATAATAATATTGCTACAATATTAAACACAAAGAATTTTTCAATGCAAATTTGTTTGCATACTTTATTCTGTGTAGCCAAATTCCCCTTTCTTCGTAGTTTCATCACCCGATAAGGTCAAGTCACAGAGTGTTTCTATCTCTAATGCATATATGGGTTGATCATAATGGTATTAGAAATCTACCAATCAAAAAAAAAAGACAATGGATATCTCTGCTCCGCAAATTCCAACCTTTATTGTTGGTTGGCAAGTCATATTATAAGTCTACCTATATGGGCGGTTTCATATGGGACTGCGACGAGACCGTCGTGAATGTCTTACAAACGCAGGAAAACATATTGAAATTTCCAATATTTCTAAGAAATGGAAATGGGGCGACAATTACGTTGTCGTTTGCTTTTCTAAATAAATCGATATGGCCTAACCCCATAAGGTCCGCATTGCGCGTATTTTTGAAATGATGAATAAAGTTGCCACGGGTTCTGAACTTCTTCGGAAGGGGGCCACGATCCGTGGAAGGTTGCGAACCAGTGGTTAAAGCGCTGAGCATAATTTGTTGGCTCAGCAGGATATACTTTCCGCCTTTAAATGATGAATAATTGAAATAAATTATGAATTCAGTTGACAATGCCGAACATGAAAGATTTCGATTTTTTAATTAATTGTATCTCCTCACACAGCGTTAGATATTAGTGGATGGTTGTTTGTAAGGGACCTTGTTCGTGTGGAACGTATTACGTAAGCGTCGTATATAAAGTCTATGACAACAGTCTATAATTATCGACTCGATTTCAAAAGCTCCATAAATTTATAGGTCGTTAAAAGTACAAATAAAATACCTGCTAAAGTTTGCCTACTCTCGTGCATAGTGTCAGACTGTACGCATGTATGCGCAATCTGGTTAATTATTTTCTTCAAATGAGAATAAATAAAAAACTAGTCAATATTATTGATATTTCATTGTTATTTCAATTTGGCAATGTTGATTAACTTACACCTAGTTTCCAGCAGACAACTATTACCCATGCAAAATGTGTTTATTTCAGTTCAGTTGCTTGATGAGACAGTCAAAAAAATTGAGACAATTATTCCAAAATTATAGTTAATATTTTGTTTGAGTTTATTTATTTTGTTTGCAGTGAATACCGAAATAGAATAACGGTTCCTCAGCTGATGTCACTTTATTTAGATTTTTGTCGAGTAAAGTTTTATGTCGCTATATTTCCCAGCATGAACAAAGAGTTATGTTTTAAATTAAAAATGGCGAGCCTACCGCAAGATATAGAGAGGAGTATTTCGAGCGAGTACTATAACGTGAAGTATACCGTTACCGATAGATCTTTAGAGTTCTTCTTTATCGCCCGTCAGCAAAAATGACAAAGATAAAACTAAAGCTACCGTGCAGGAATGTACCGATTTCAGGTATGGGCAATGAAAGGATGCTAACCCTTCCCATTTTGAAATGTATATTCAATGATGCGAAGCGAGAATTTTGGTAAAAAATAAGATATCTAGCGATTACACAAATTTGACAACTATTTTGACTTTGTCTTTACAGAGAAATAGAAGAAGGCATATTCTGCTTTAGCTAGACTTCACTTTTGGCAACCAGGTGTTACGGTGGCATTACTTTAAAAAATGTGTAAGACTTTTAACTCATATTTCACAAAGCTCATTTATACTGTATTCACCTAATTTTGATATCCTTATGGGGCCAAACTGCATACGTCGCCCTCTAGGTATATTGAGGCTATATATTTTGATAAAAGGTTATTTATTTGCACAGATAAAAATGTATTCATACAATCTGATAAGCAGTGATAGGAACTTCAGAGTTTCTGACCCTAAATTAGTTGGACTCGAGTTGGGCCATATATACGAGACTCGAATTTATTAGGGACATCGAAATAAAATGACTCGGTGTACTCAAGTAACAGTTGGTAAGACTAACTCGGCAATTGACTAGACCTGGAATCCTCGCCACTGGACTAAACTTGCGAATCGGTATTTAGGGAACACTGTTTGTATAAGTTGTGTGGCATTGGTACAGGAGGAAAATAAATTTGTGTGCTACTAACATTGAGCAAGGGTCCCAATCGGCGGATAGATTTAAACACTAGTGAATAATTTAACCTGCTCATGTGGGGAAAAATTTGCATTCAAAAAATATCTATGTTATCATTATTATTTTCAGTTTTCAGTTTTCTAAATCACATATTACAATAGATTTCACGGTAATTAAAATGAATGCATATGTTTAAATAACAAGGATGAAGACTTTTTTGAAGATTCTCGTTTTTACAATTTTTTGTCTGGTGGCTGGAGATTCAAGTGAGCGCGTATTTATTCTGAGTAGAATTATGTTTTCATTTCATCATATCACAGGCTTGAAAATTTCGAAAAAACACAAGATTATGTTACTTTTCGACCTAGTAGGCAAGCTAATGGTGGCAAGCAAGACATTTTAATTTTCATTGTTAAAAACATGATCACTTTAGTTGAGAATTTCTTTTCTCAAGCAGATGAAAATACTATATATTGGAAATTTCATTATTACTTACTGTATAACAGTGGTTCCCAACCTTTTATTGATCATGACTAGGGATGCCACTTTTGCATTTACGAATCGGATCGATTCGAATCGCATCTTTTCCGAATCGACTCGAATCAGATTTACGCGATTCGGAAAAAGAGAGCGATTTACCGAAAATTAACATTGAACGTTTGTTAATCGTTGTTTTCGGCGGCGTTAAAACTGCCTAATGCGTATATGAGGCAGTACAAATAACACCAAATTACGGGACGAAAATAAATGAAAATGAATTTTTCGTGATTAATCCATTACTCCTGTGCCGTCATTTGTTTCAAGTTCGGCACAACACACTCTTTTACGCGTCATTCGAGAGAATGTGTGGCGTAATTTCGATCAAGCTGCGAGTTCAGTTTTCCACTAAATAGCCTAATTTTCTATCATGCGCGAATTTGAATAGATCGTATACCTAAAAATTTGTGACAATTTTGATGACAATTTTCAACAGCACACCTGCGCTGCGACTAAGTTATTGTACGCCCTGGCATGATTGGATAAAGAATCAGCTACCGATGTCTAGATAATTAGTTTTGACTTAAATTTAATTTAAACTTTGTTCTGAGTAAAATATCTCGCGTACATTTGAAGAGAACTATAACTGGATGAGTTCATCGGCCGGCAATGTTAATAGACGATCATGTTTCTCATTCTAAAATATATATTTATTAGGCTTCCCGCTGCTTGTCAGAAGGGAACCTATTGTATTCCTGTGTTTTATTATTATTTATTATTATTATTATTATTATTATTATTATTATTATTATTATTATTTTTTTTTCAAATTGGTCCTACAAACTTGAAATTCACCTCAAATGTGCAGAAGTTCTCAGCTAGCAATAAATTGCAAATTGTATGCATGACTGACCAAGCTTTCACGCTCCAGTGAGCAAAACGCGTATTCAGTTTTTTTGCGATTTCTCAAAATTGATACATGCTATTGGGTTGAAATTCATAACAATGATTAATGGACATGTTCCGGATACAATATGTCAAGGATACGCATGAGTAACCTCGGCGATACGCTCCAGTGAGCAATATAGGATTTTTTTACCTTTTCATCTTCTTCTCGAGAACGACACTACTTAGAGACTTGAAATTTACATCACATGCAGATAATAAGTCCCCCATCGTAAACTGCAAATTTTATGCATGACTGACCAGGCTTTCACGCTCCAGTGAGCAAATCGCGTCTTCAGCTTTTTTACGCGGGAAGCCTATTAAAGCTGCACGCAGCTCTAGTTTTATTTGCGTTTGTCAGGTCTTCCACTCGCGTGGCGGTAAACGAAATAAGAGGAACTTTTCCTTAAATTTTGTTAGCGCGATACAAGTGGGAATAAAACATTTCGGATTATTTCTAGCAAATGTCATAGCGGACAGGTGGGAGTAAATAATACTCGAGTGATGGCAACTTGTGCACTGTTTTACATCAACACGTGCCAGATTTCATACCAGACCAAGCATACTGTGCGAATGTCGTCTTACTTTAGCCCCAGGGACCATGTTTGATAGAGATAGAAGCGTCGACCAATTATCGCTCATCAGCGCGGTGCCATTATGCACACTTGGACTTTATGAATTACGAAATTAAACGTAGTCCACAATAATAATGAAGCCCGAGTTAGCCAATAATGCGGTTAGCCACAAATAATATTGCCTCTAATATTTCTGAAATTTTTTGTTCGCAACCCTAGTCGGGTGAACGTTTGTTTTTCTCGAAATTAATGTAATTTAATCGTGGTTAATTTTATCGTCTTCAATCATATTCTTGCAAGCATTTCCCATTTCTAGTAATTCAGATGCAATTATAATGTAAAGAATCGGTAATAAGGCCGGCCTTAATTCAATATATCAAGAAGTGAAATACCACAGTCACATATACTGGTGGGGGACTAGGGAAAGCAGTGCTGTTACTGTGTTTATGACATAACAGTACAACTGTTTTGCTTATTTTCTCATATGAATTCCATCAAATTGCCTCAGTCCTGATACAAGTATGTAAAACACAATAATAACTCAGTATTTTAAGACTCACAGATAATTAGTTGTAACAGCAAGTTTTTCATCAATGCATTTATTGGTGATATCTATGACCTACATATTTTTTCGTTATTATCATGATGGAAATGAGTGTGGCTAATTCACCGAAAAACCCTTATCATCCAAGTTTTTCTCTTCTAGATTTGAACTTTTTTGTGACTTTGAGCAAACATACGCATGCAATAAAAAACAAAAAAAAAAGCTTAATGGAATCAGATTCGAAAAGATTCGATTCGAAAACTTTTGATTCAAGATTCGATTCGAAAAAAATGTATCCAGAAGTGGCAACCCTAATCATGACACTCTTCCAGAGGCTTTTAGCACTCATGGCCTCTGTTCACCATTTCAGTGGCATTTATAGTGTTATTTTGATTGGTGTATTCTAAATACCATTATGTTCAAACAATTCATGCTCAACAAAGTGAAACAACCTGTGGATTAAATTTATCAAGCAACTTGGAAGAACCGGAAGTTTTCTTGTAAAGTAAAATCAGTTTTTTGCCCGGCACTGTGGCCCCTCAAACTGCTCTGTGACCCCCTTGGAGAGCCAGGGGCCCCCGGTTGAGAATCACTGCTGTATGATAACCTATAGTACATGTCTAGGGTCGTTTTCAGGGAAAAAATAATATAGCCTCAAAAACCAAAATCCAATTATTGGAAAGTTTGCAAATAAATAGGTATATTTCGGCATAACATAACTTTCCATTTTCAACTGAAATAAATATCCTTATTTTTACAGATTCCGTCTGTAAGACCTGCACTGCAGATATTGTAGGCGAAACATGCCAAGTCACTTGTCCAAACCTTCCTAGATGGACCGTGACATGCGCTTGTAGTACAGATACCCCTCACATTGATCATCATAGCATTCGGAATGCCAGTGAAATAAAATGTGATTGGGACGACGTCAGCCATTGTGGTAGATTAATTAATTATTTTCAAATATTTCATTCAATTTTAGAATAATGCACCGTGTCTAAGCAAATTTTCTCATTGTAATTCGATTTGTCGTTCGGCTTACGCTAGCGCAGTGCTCATTAACAAGGTTAGCGTAAAACCACAAGGTTCCGCCAATGCAGACCAGTTATTTGAGTTTGGTGTTCAAGTGATCCTTCCGATAGCGTCTTTTGTGATATTACCATCCACTCGCAATAATAATCATGCCATATTAATAGCTGCTTTTTACTCAACGAATATATATATGATCAACTGTAATCAACACGAAGTCTAATAACACGGTTGACCTTGCGAACTCTAAGAATTCCTTTTAGATTTTTCTTTAGAGTAAAAGGCTTCGCAAAAAGGTTATATAGATTTATACTAACCCTGTTTCTCTTCAGGTCCCAAGGAAGTCGAGTTCAAAACATTTGTCATCACCTCGGGAATTCTGGTCATCGTTGTTCTATTCCTACTTGGATCAACAATTTATTTATTGATGTGAGTTATTTAATTGCATTCGAATTCAAAATGATTTTAAACAAAATTTCGTTCGATTTTTACGAATCAGTTTCATTGAATATCAAAGGTCTTGCTGATAGACTATTATTATCGACTAGACAAGGGCTTTCCAAACTTATAAGCTCGCGACCGTTTTCAATATATCAGAACTTTTCTGGACCCCTGTTAAGTCGGCATTGGAAGCGCGCTGCATCTCGGGAATTACGATCAAAGTCGGCATTGTTATGCAAGCGCGCTACTTCTCTGAACCTATGTGTTCTTTCAGAATCGAGATTTATGTTTTGCACTAGTTTTAATAATTGTGTTTCGAAGCAAAATTCCAAAAAAGTACAATAAAGTACTTAAAATAAAGTACTTACAATAAAACAAATTACTTACAATAAAGTACTTTGTGTAAAATTGTTGTGTTCTTTGGACCCCTAAAATTCGTTACCCAAATCCACTGAGGGGGTGCCACTCCAGGTTTGGGAAGCCCTGGGCTAGACGACTGACGCGTCGTGTTAAGCCTATGAAACATGCTGTCCAAGGCAACGCTGAATATTACCTTAGCACCTCTGGTTTCCCCTCCCTGGTGCAAGATATATATGTACGAGAGATCTGCTGCCTTAGAGTAACCGCTGGTTGGATGACCGCTGGTTATCTTTTGTACAAACCCCCTACTGCAATAATGTGAGATTTGCGAAACACACCTTGACCATGTTTTAAGTTTAAATTTACTAATTATTCAGTTAGGGTTGCAAATGCTTTAAAAATTTCAATTTTTAGCGCAATCTGCATTCCTAGCCATAACTGGATATGTACTAATTTTCCTATTTTGAAAATCTCGACAAAGTTTATGCATATAGCGTGAGATAAGGCAATATCAAGTTGTTAACTATTTTCACACCGCACATCCAATTGAGATATATTTTTTTTAGGTTTAACTATCCCTATTGGCTTCGCTTTCTCCAAAAATAAAAAATATCGTACTTGAATATGCTGAATTTTACGCTTGTGTAGCCATGGTTCATCTGTGAAACTTCTTGTTTAGGACATTGTTCCGAATGCCATGAGTTTACACAGATGCAATCTTGTCCACATTTATATAGCGCCAGTTTATTAGTGTTGTTTTTTCTAAATTTCTCTACAAGTAAACACTTTAATAAACTCCCTCGTGCGTGTAGTTCTTTTTGTCGTATCCTTTCGTTTTGGAATAGGTGAAATATGCACATGATACTTTAGTTCATCAGACACGAAAGGGACATATAGATTGTTTTGTTGTTACGTTGTTGTTGTCGATAGAATTTTTTTTCTTGCTGTTATGAAAAAAATACTTTTCCCAAGTCGTGGACCAATTGCTTTGTAATTTTAATCGGTTAAGGTAGTATATTTTGATATAAGGATATTTCTTTATTTACTCTATTTATTTCAAAAATTTCTGTGGGCTCTAAGAGATTGGTATTTCTGTGTGCGATAACGTCATCAAAATTGAAAATTGCGCATCTTCTGATGGTTCCGCCTTCGCGTTGGCGATCTGGATGTCAGGAGGTGTTCTACCGTGGAAGATTTCATACCAATAATACTGTGTTTTTGCCTTCGTGTCACTATATTTGAGCATCGTTATCATGTTTAATATCTTCGGGCATTAGCCGAATAATTAGGACAAGGGAATTCTTCCATATCGCTGCCACGACGCCACTAAAGACAATCCTTAATCCCGAATACTCTAAATCAGTGGTTCTCAACATTTTTGTCTTTGCGGACCCTTCTGATGCTCTCAAAGCGGTCGCTGACCCCTCAAAAGTGTTTTATTTGAAATTCAGTTCATAGCTTAAACATAAACCTAATGTTCCATACAGATTTAACCAAGCCAAAGATAACACCAAACTAGTGAACATTTCAATTTATTTTGTCAAATCAAATACACTTAATGGGATTTTTGCTGTTGCATATCATTAGCAAGTCTTGAAATACGTGGTCGTGTTTTTGATAACGATAGACGCATATCGTCTTCGACGTTCAGTTGGTTACTAGCCTTGGATTTGATATGAACGAGAACAGAAAATCCATTTTCACAAAGGTAAGTGAAGGCGATTGGAACAATAACACGTAATGCTTACATCAATACTTTTGGGTACGACGGCAAAATGGCGCACCAAAACTGAGAAAGTGATCACTGTGGCTGTGTTCTCGTATTTATCAATGTGATGTCATAACTTGTATTCGTCACAATATGTCTACGGGAGTTGGATCAAAATAGTTTTTGTAGGCTATTGTCACATTGTCATAGGCAGCAAATTTTCGAGCGTATTACAAAAAAAAACGATAGCAAATTGCAAATAATTTCCTAAATTTTTAATTTAATCGCGGACCCCTTGGAAATGCTTCGCGGACCACTGGGAATCCACGGACCCCTGGTTGAGAACTACTGCTCTAAATCCTCTAATTTATAATAATATGGAGCGTAAACAACAACAGACTGCTGAGACAACTCAACAAGGGATGATCATACCAATAAAATGCGCTTGGAAAGCACAACAAAAAATAAATTTCTCAATTACTCTAACGAAATTTCGAAAATTTATTAAACCCTTCAACTTCTGTTTGTGTAAGATTGTACTCAAAAGTTTCAGTAAACTGGAAAGCTTTGCACAAAAGTTATGTTTTTCATAATATATGTTCTAAATGACATGGGTTCTGTTTTGGAGTCAGCTTTGTATTATACAAATTTGTATTCATAAATTGTGATGTTTTTATTTTGCAGTCAAAATTCCAGGCGAAGGGTAACATCGACATCAAGTCCGAGTGAATTCACAAACAGGACCTCTATGGAAAGTAAGTGTTTGATTTATAAATAGCTATGAAATTTACTTCAATTGCTCAGTTAAATTTAGTAGACCGTTGTGAATACAATATTTCACATTTCTTAAGGAACAGTACGAATAGACAAACTCGTTAATCAAAAACGAGTTTAAAGAGAACTTACAGTTAAATTTATTGAGCGTGGGAGTATCATACCTGCTTTTTATTTTATTTTATTTTTTTTGATCAAATTGATGTTAACTAATGTATTGGAAAAGTATTATTTTATGTATGCATTGAATTCAGTAAATTCCATTTACAAGCCTTCTCAACAACTTCACAAGGTTTGATACAAGAAGCCGCTGAAACTTGAAAATCTATTATTTTGAAGACATGCCTTGCTTTTTTCAAAATGATTGGTTTCATATATTTTCTATAATATATTTTCTCTAAGTATCGGTAATCATTTTGAATTTTTTTAGTGATGGAACAGAAAAGCAATAACAACAAAATCGTTATTGATGGTTTGGATAACCAAACTAACGAAACTGACGACAATGCCGAACCCAGATATCACCCTTCACCGACAAACATTGAACCAACTAACGCAGAGGAAAGAGGACCGTTCCCTGTTCCACGAGGAAAACAACAAAAAGGAAAAGCAATTAAATACAAACAACAACCGACCAGATTCGTACAAATAGGCCCTGATTTCGAACCTCAAGCTATAACACCTCCACCCCAAGCTCCATCCCGTCGTAAACGAAATGTAAACCCGGAAGCGTTACCGGAAACAAACAAACCAAAATACCAAACCCTACCGCAATTTCAAACATCTCAATTGGACTCAGCACTCCCTTCTTTTTCAATCCCTTTTAATCGGTTCCGTGGAAAGTCTGCTGGCTCGGAAGAGGGATATGATAACGACCCCGTTCCTTCGCCTCCCTTGTTTCCCCCTCCTCAACTGCCCCCAGTATTTCCACCCTATGATGCACCTCAACCCTTTCCTCGGAATACAAAGCAAACAGATTCTGACAGCGAATCCAGGTAATTACAGGGTGACCTCCAAGACCCAAATTTTTACCTGATATAAGTCAGTCTCTAACGCCGATAAGGTTATTCGGATCATGGTTTAGAGGTGTGAAATAGAGCGGGCCGCGGGCCACATCCCGGCCCGTCAAGTCATTAACTATGGACCGTGTCAACGTCAGATTTTCAACAAACAAGCGTTGCGTACATGGTAAAACATCTTTTTAGTCTGGTCCAGCTAGATGTCTGAAGCTGGTGATATAACACACCGACAAAATTGTTGCACACCTCTGTTTCAGTACTATAGCATAACTTTGTGCAAAGCATCCTAGATTCCTAAAACTTTTAAGTACAATTATACATAAACAGTAGATTAAACGTAAACAGATTTATAATGAAATTTTCTATCTTTTTATAAGAAGTACAATTCGTGCAATAATAAACAACTCGTGTTTTTTACGGGATTAGCTTTGATTTGTATCTGTCCTTTTTTACTTAACTTGAGTTAATAGTTTATATAATCTGACGTACATAAAGCAAATTTCCCGCAAAAGAGACATTTATTGAAAAAGCGACTTGAAATGTTCCCATGTGAATCACGGCTCAGGTTTAAGGTTTTGGACGGTTTTAGAGCATATTAACGAAATTGTATGATTGCGCTTTTTATTATGAAGCCGCATATATTAAAATTCATCCAAACCTAACCGGCCGATCATCTCACGCCAGTGGTTGACGATCTTTTTTTTAAAAAATTCTCCCTTTTTATATAATACATTTTTAAAGCTCTTAATTCTTTCCTCTACTGCGCATCGAACTTTACTTGCATTTGGTATTCAATCTTCAACAGAACATTTGCTTGTAATATGTACAACTCGTCATAGGGTTCTTATGTATTTTGAATAGAATATATATTCATTACAATAATAATATAAAATAAATATTATTATTACTATTAGTAAAAAAATTAGTAATAATACAAATATAAAGTAAAATTTCCTCTTTAAAACTATTCAAATACCTCCATTCTCTGGAATTGCCCTCGGTTGGGAAATGTTGCTGTAGGCTTTCCTCATTTTATGAGCTTTATTATCGGTATGACTGGTGGCATGTACCGCGGTAGTAAAAACCTCGGTTATGTCTTAGTAAAATGTTATCCCAACCCTTTTATTTCAGCCATTATTACGAAGATGCTGATCCCGTGACTGGACTTAAACAAAATCAGCACGAAGACGAAGAAGAAATCTTTGACAATTAAGGATCGAATTGGAATCATTTGAATGTAGAAAACAGACTGTATTTATTCATAAAAAATTAATGCCAATTTCTTCTGTATAAAATTGCTAAACTAATTTTTTTAGACAGTTTGTATATGCGCATTTTTTATCGTAAAAGTAGTGCTAGGCGAAACTTATAAACATAAAATCAGTAATACGAATATAGCAGATTGCCGACAAACGTTTTTCAATATTTGATTCTTCAAACTTTTTCTTAATTATATTCAAATCTTGTCCAAACAGATTTTAAGGTCAAAATTTTCACCCTATGGGTAAAATAGGGTCTAGAATAGTCACAACCTATTTATCAATGAATTATCGATAATCTATTTTGTTATTCAGTCTATTGAGTTGGGGTAATCTAAATAAATCCACGTAAACATTAATTCAAATACCTTTTTTAAATTCCTTCAGCAAAATATTCAGTTTTGGTATAGACCAGGGGTTCCCAAGCTTTTTTCAGGACGACCCCCAAAACAACTTTCAAGTGTCTAGTGCAACCCAAGGTCAATATATATGTATTTCATGAAACTTTAGAGCTTTCTTCACTGGACTTTTGAGTTAGGTCATGTGGTGGTATTAAGTAAAATAAGCTAAAACCAAGCAGTGATGTCACAATAAGCACCTACATTTTCATTTAAACGATGTCTATGGGCCTGTTTTACAGTAAGCCTTACAAACTGCTAAATTTAATATGGTTTGTCAAATCTTAGATGTTTTTTACATCCATCTTCTACCACACCTCAGCGACCCCACCGACCCCATGACCTGTTTGCGACCCCACCTACTTATCACTCCGACCTCTTTTGGGGTCGCTACCCCTGGTTTGAGAACCCTTGGTATAGACTGTTATCAAGCGCGCGTTTTCAGACTATAATTTGCATAATTTCTTTAACCCATAAAAGTAAAAAAAGGGTGCGAGAATATAAATAATAAATACAAGCAATAAAAAAACTTTTGCGATACATATGTTGTTTGAAAGTCTAGAGGCAATGTATACACAAAAAATTGAAATCATGGTACATTGCGCGTTCACAAACTGTCTATACAAGAATTGATTTGCAAATTTCTATACTCGTAATAAGAATAAAAAGGGCGAGAATACATATACCAAATACATATCCAGGCCACAACTTATCTTTCAAAGCACCGAGATTAAAGTCTGTTATTCGAACTATCCAGTTAATTAACTTAATAAAACATGATTTCATGATCTCAAGATCGATATTGTCCAAGTAAGATAATCTAGATTCGATTTGTAAACTATGCAATACTAATTATATTTTTTCTTATATATACATAACAATAAAACATTTTAATGAAAGTATTTTGCTTGAAAGTCTACAATCAAAACATTAAGTTTATAGCTTAAGCGGGAAAAGGAAAAGAATAAATATAACAGTCAAATTTTTAGTTGTAGAGCTTTAGCCAGTGTTGTTTGAAAATTGTGACGTTGAAGCCATACTGTGAAAATTTGTCTTTTTTTATAAGCAGACAAGGTGATCTTTGACATTGTAACAAAAAAATTAAATCTCACAATAATTTCGAGAAAACAAAGATATTGCCCGATTAGTGTGGTCTGCGAACATTGATGACTTTAATAAGACTCAATTTCGTTTTGCAATATTTATAGCGCACAATATCGGATCAACGCTCTAGTTACTAGATCTAGTAGACCCTTATTCTCAGTTATTCTGTCTATCTGTCTGTATGTTTAACTGTAACGGCTAAACGACCGGTCGATTTAATTATAATTTCTCAAGTGGGTTATGCTGTCACCCTAGTAATATCTGTTTCACCAAAAGTCATGATTGATCGAAGGCAACAATGAATAAAAGGGCCGATCGTTATGAAATTTCCCATTTTCTTCACAATTTATAACCGTTTTTTGTCAACCAAGTCAAAAATTGATATTCTAAGAACGATACATTCCAGAGAAGAGAATACAATTTCAAACAAATTGTCTTTCGTCTCGATACTCGAAAAAATGGCGAATCGTTGGGAATTTCAGGGAGCGTAATCTTAATATTAGCTACAGTATATCCTTTATGCAAGAATGTTCACAAAATGTCCGATTGCTTGAGTGCTAGCCCCAATTGTCATCGGAGATTCTTGTCGCCTACCGGCTCATTTTTATAATGAGTTATCACGCTATACGCATGACCGATGCAGATGTGATGCGCATATGCCGTGTAAGATTCATTTGCCGACTGATTTGGGAAAATCACGCACAATTCAGATCTATGATTTGGCGAAAATAACAAGTTAACCATCCTTATACGTGATCTGCATCGGCCACCGCGGGCCGTGGATTGTTGTAGCCGTATAATCGCAAATTCCCGTTGTCCTGACGATCAATTACAATGCTCTCGTAGGGCAACCGGAGTTTGAATTGTGATTGGATAGTCAAGTTTAATAATCCCGGTGAGGATATGGGTTTGGGCTGGAAATTGACCGACCTGTGTTCAATCACTCCTAAACAAGCATAATCGCATGACTCAATGTACTAATCTATATGGTAAATTTGTATTCTGTATTATTAGAGACTTATTACACACCTCAAATAGGTCAATTGACGCATCGAATTTTTTGACGGAAACTATATCTTAATCTGCTCTTATTACCATGTAACGCTTCGTGTTTAAATTAACCCAAAATATGCCATAAAATTTTATTCCACACAAGTACCATGTTTCCTATAGGTTCTTTTCTAGAAATTTTTATTATATTTTTTCGGAATGTTGAATTGTTTTGTAATAAAAATCTTTTGTTACTTTTTAGCAATCTCTTAAAACTATGTATAAAACTAAAATCCGCGGCGGTATAGTATAGATATCTCATGAAATTTGCTCACGTTTGCTGCGGGAACAAGGTAACTCCCAAAAATTGGAATGTATAAACAATGGAATGCACTTTTACGCAAAGTTGTTTTTTAATTTTGAAAATGACGAAAATGTAAACCTAAATGTCACACAAGGGATAGGTAGACACATGAGAGACATTTCCAACCGATGACCCAAGTATAACTCGAACCGAAGATCTAATAATAATCCATCGGCACCTTGACGGTCAGTCACGCCTATCCCTTCGATCAATGCACAGACACTGAAATGGAAGGAGCGGAACCTCATCATCTTTCATTATATTAAACATTGGATAAAGTGTTGAGCATGAACTTGAACCCGAGTTGTGTAAAATGTGATGCACACTCACAAATATAGTGTTTCAAGAACTAGCTCTGATTGCAACAAATCCACTTATCTTTTTCTACATTGCTGTTTTCTTTGCAGATATGACTTAAAATATTGTAATTTCAATTTAACCTCAATTTGCTGACATCTCGTTTTATATGTGAATTTTAAGGGATCAAGAATGTGTTGCCAATTTTCCACGTTCAATCAAGGCGTTTACGGACATGTTTTAGAGTTAGACAAACCTCTATAAAAATGTCCTACTCTTTAACTCTAGGTTTGTGAAGAGGAACCAGAAGTTACAAGATTTTCGTAATGAAAGGATAGACAGCAATAACCCGAATATGGCAAAAGATAAAATGTCTTGCACGCAGAACCAGATATCACCATATGCAGTAGATGAAAGAGTAGTCGTTGTAAACCATCTATACGAGTTATGATAGACAAAAACTGAATCTTCTGTATATTTATCAACGCTATGTAATCAGAAACCAGACAATAAAGCCTACTATTGTGAAGGCGTAAATCACGTACTTTCCACGTTCTAACTTTCAAATCGTCAATGCAGGGGTAGTGAAACACTGACCCGCGTCACAATGGGACACTCCACGTTTTTTGGTAACCCAACACGTTATTAATTATTAGAATAAACGTACTATTACTAACAGTAAGTACCAGTGGCGGCGCGTGGTCATTTTGACAACCGGGGCAAGCTACTGCGGGACCAAGTCACCCCCATCTACGGGGTCAGGATGGGCGCTGTAAGTTCTCCCATCATTTTATGAGTATAAAAACCATTCCATCGGTAACAACCAATCAGCAAAAGCGACAATTTTTAACGATAAGAAAGTGTCTTTGAAACCGGTCCAAGTCAAGGGATTAATAAATATAGACATCGTTTATTTTGAAACCTCTTTCAAAAGGAAAGGCAATATTTACCCAGATAAATACAAAGACATATTAACAGAAACTTCGGGAAAGCAGACAAAACCTAAAATAAGGTTTAAAACATTACTATGAAGAAAGGAAAGTTAATGCAAAGATAAGGACATGCGTCGCTCACTCATAGATATATATGCTGCTAGACTTCTACTGCTTGAACATATATGCAACACGCCGCGGTTTCTTGGAAGCAAAATGCTCAATAACGCGCTGATTATAGTCATGCATCCTAGAAACAACGTCTTTGTGAATGGATAGAACAGCCAAGGAATTTAATCTATCTTGCTTCATTGTGTTTCTGAGATACGTTTTAATACGCTTCAGCGTGCTGAATGTTCGCTCTGCGTCGGCGGAAGAAATAGGCGTCGTCAAAATGATGTCCAGAATTTTGCAGACGCCGCAAAGATAGTTACTAGAGTGTTATCTATGAGGAACCTATAGAGCGCGCAAGTTGATGTGATGTTCAAAAAAGTTTGATTGGTGTATATACATCGCAATTCATTTTCCAATTTACCCACGTTTATCATGGGGTAAAATTTGGAGACAGTAGCCAACAAATGGATGGGAAATTGACGTGCAAATTTTGAAAAATTTTTGGTGTTAATCAAAGAGAACGCGGCAAGGTGTTCAGTGCGCAGACGATCACCTATTTGATTCACCAGAATGTCACAGCATTCCTTTGCAGACAAAATCAAACGCTGCGTTGTTTGCCCGCGGCGTAAAGAAGAACTCCATGTGTCGTCGTATTTTATTTTTTCCCGGATACGAGATACAGCATCGCAGAAGTCTGAAATACACGACTGCACAGACGATCCATCCATTAGCCTTGACTGCAATGCGCCGTATAATACATTCACGTGATAGAATATTGTGGAGAAAAAAGCGAGAAAAAATGAAAACTCACCATCTTCTAGCAGACGCTTTAGACCTGCCACCTCCCTCACAGAGCGTTCATCCCAAACCGGAGAGCTCTGAATGCCATTGAAACACTCAATGAGCTCAGACCTAATTTTGGACACGCCCTGCTCCACGCGTGATTAGAAGTTCCAACGTGTTGGTGCACAAGCTGGGAGACGGCGGCTACATATCTGGCGAAGGAGATCAGAGCGCTTCGGCGAAACGGAAAAAAATGAAGAAAACCCCGAAACAATTGCTAAAATTATACGGACGAGAGGGGTATCAAAACACATATTTTTAATAACGAGGTTAAATTGGTGTGCATAACAATGTAAAAAATGCGTATGAGGAAAATCTTCTTTTATATAAACTTGAACACTATGTTTCGATCCACTCCTGACTGTCGCGCCGTCATAAGTTTGAGCTATCAATTTTGACTTCGCGTTGTAAGGCTGTAACACTTCTTTCAGTACAGCCGATATCCCGCAAGCCGT